AATCTGGGCCGTAAAAATAATGCCATTCAACAGATGGTGAACCCCATGTGCAGGTTGCATGTTGCAAACTTTCATGGACGTGACTGGCTGTCATCACGCGCGGCGAATTGGGACGCAAATCATTGACGCGCGCGGCGCGCCCAAACTTTGAAATTCTTGAACTTATCGGATCAATGCCGCAAAACGGACAGATGTCAGAAACTGGCCGCCTTGTGATTTCGACTTTTCGGACACCCCACCGTGCCCACCGTCTGCATGAAATGATCGGAAGGTAACCGTACCGCGTCGACGGTACAGACTCCAGAGGTCGGAAGGTATGTACGCCGCTAGGTACCTCGCCAGGCAACCGGGCACTCACAGTGACATTAGGGTTAAGTCACAACGTAGTGATCAATCGTGTCACGCCACGTACTCCCTCCGACGGTTTGTCGGTTTGTTAGGGCCCCGTTAGGGCTACACCCCTTCCCTGTGACTGCTCCCAGATTAGGTCCCGATTAGGTTCCCACTAGGTACTCCATTTAATAACGGCTAAGCCATTGTTCTTGCTAGGGTTTTGTTGTGTTAGACAGTTAGGGCTACCCCGGGCCCGACTGTTGCCACTGCTGAAACAAAGCCTGGTACCGCTGTTTGAAAGCTCCACCATCCGACGTCCGAAAAAAATGTAAGGAGTTCACGCGGCGGAGGAGTTCACAAGTTTTGTAAGTTTTGTACTGGAAAAGCGTGAGTGGTGGCGCCTGGCCCGCTGAAGGCTCCCGTCACGGCAGTGTCCCCAATGATATGCTGCGGCACGAGCTGAAGAGGACCGAGTCATGCAAGCCGTGAAGCCGACGTGAAGACGACCAAGTACCTAATCCGACCGGGATCCGCCCACTGCGTGCGGGCTGCTTGCCTACGATGACTCGGTCCCTTGAGTCATTCCGACCGTCGGGCGATCAGGCGACTCATCGAGCCTGAGACCCAAGTTTGGTTGCCGGTTGGTGGTCAGTTCGAATCCTCGATCGATGATAGCCTCCTCCGTAAGTGCGCACGGTGACTCGGCGCTCTGTGGGCGGCCGGCCTTGAGAGTCACGGATGAGAGCCAATTCCGAGGAGATCGGAGGCATCACAAGTGCATTACAATTGCTGCGGTATTATAGGCAGCGCGTCTCGGTCGGCTTGCATTGGAGTTTGGCCAGCCTGAGCAATCCATCACTAAGTAGCTAGAAGGGAGCTAGAGCCGCGGCACGACTTAGCAGTATACATCCGGAGCAGATGTGAGGCCAGTCGACTGCTAGATAGGCGTTGTATTGAAGGTTTCGGTGGTATATATATAGGCCGCGAAGTCGGATCTCAATTCAAGGCCGGCGGCCGTGCTTCCGTTCGTGTATGGTCATGTGCATTGACACCTGAGGTGCTTTATATAGCACTCACTTCGATCCACTTCTGATGCATTGAGCAATGTCCGAGCTTGGCCTTGAACGCATGTTGCGTTGGATATCGATGAGAATATATATATATGTTGAAGTCAACGATTAATATTGTCTTCGTTTTTGATACCTACCGCGGTACCATGGACACAAAAGTAAAACGCAACGATCGCATGAGCAGTGTTGGGCCGGGCCCATGCACCTCGGACATACATATGTCTCAGTGATCCATGTTTCTTGCATTGGGGCGGAAAGCTTATAGGGGGGGGGGACATCTTTCTTATACATAGTAAATGTGACCCTTCTAGAAATAACTTTCCGGTGAAACTTCAACAAAGAAATATTGAACAGCACTACTTAGTATCCCAACCTGTTGCGGCCGAACGTGGTCATTGCAGTCCAGCCTGCGAATGCAAAGGCCCCGAGTAATTGCAACAAAAGAGCTTTGCTATCTGCCATCGGCTGGGTTACATCCATGACTCCATTGTAAGCAAATTGATGTGAAGCCTATATGCATACCTATTGCCATGATGACATTTGTCTTTACTTTTAACTTTCAACGTCTGAAAGAGATTGTGTACGACCTTTTTCTCGAGGACCATCTTTCATCCGTTCGACCAATCTGACTTCCACTAAGTTTTGAGATATTGAAGCGCGCGAATGCACTTACGATGCAACATGACTCCGCACTCGCCCTGCTTCCACGGGGTTCTCCTGTTGACTTGTTACAATCGAAACAAGTATCGCAACTTGGAGGAACGAGAGCTTGAGGCACACCAGACTCTTTTGCCAGGTCGAGGCAATATTCAGAATCGCTATCAATCTTTTCGGACTTGAAGGATCTTCGAATGCTTTTGCATCCATTTTCGTCAGACAAAACCCCAAGTTTAGTCAAGTGACATTCCTGCGACCTGTTTGTTGGTCCAGCTTCACACGTGAACATGTTGCAACCGTCACTCTGTTGACAATAGTCGTCTGCTTTTACACCCCAAGTCAACCATGGATGGCCGCATATGCCTCCGTCCTGGCGAAGCAACGGAGCGTTCCATCAGGAAGACTGAATTTTCGAACATCCTAATTATGCAAGACAAGGACTCCCATAACAAAGAGGGACTGTAAGCCAGCGTTGCGTCTTTGAACTCGTCTTCAGAATCCTTGGTTGAGTGAGTGAGCTGACGGCCGTTCCGACTTATTGAAACGGGATGTTCTTAAGGACCTAAAATTACTGTTGATGTTGCAGCAGGCAAACCACAGGGACAAGTCCAACAAGCGAGTCATGAGAATGCAACCTTTCCCGTCCCTTCACAATCTGCCACTCGATTGTCTACTTGATATTGTCGGAGCCCGTTTGAAGCATAGCTATTGAGCTTTTGGAATCAATCCGCTCATACGAGCCAATCCGGCCAAGCCGCGTCGCCACCTTCCGAACAGCGCTAATGCTCGTTCATCTCGTGGAATGTCTCACGCTGCTTCTCAGGAAATGACCTCGAAATGCTTCGCCAACTCAGGAGAGGAAGAATCAGGACAAGCTCGGGCAGATTACGCACCTTTTCTCCAATCAAAAGGTACTCGAGCACGCTGTCCGTCCTGCGAATTTCTGCGGTCCAGTCGACACCCAAGGGCTGCGATGAATGACCTGAAGGTCTCAGCGGTTGTACAAGAAGGACGCCATTTTGAGTAGCGTGATCCCATAGAGTGGCATCCGAGTTGAAATAAGGGCAAAATCAATTGGAGAATCAGTAGGGGAGAGGGACCCGTTTTGAATATGTAATATTCCGTTGCTAGACAACTGGTCGACCTTAATAAGAGTAGGCACTGAAGCTTGACGTTCTGAACTAGAAAGGATTGGGACACGGCCGTCGGCAATGCTCTCGGGACACTGCCTTATAGTCGTTGCCGGATGGATGCAGGGGCAACTGCCCTGTTGTCAATGGAAGGCATACGTTTCGGGGCGATTAAAAATAGAGGGTATCGTGAAGCCGGAAGAGCCCAAAAAGCCTACGCCTGCACTGCCTTTCCCGTGGGTCCGGGTTTTCGGGCCCATGTGAGGAGGTACGTTGACCATTCCGGAGGTCCGCTTCCAAGCACCGAACCCAGAAGCAAGCTATTACTGCAGCGTGCATCAACTGGGAACCTGCCCAACCGCAGGCAACGCACAACGGAAGGGCATGATCATAGCATCTGCACGGTCCGTCTAGTTCAAACCTCTGTCAACAAGGTACCGAACAGAAAAAGCCAGCCCATAGTTCCATTTTGTGAAGAAGGCAGAACGCTCTGCTGTCTTCAAATCAAGCATACCTTTCAGACGAGTTGAAAGTCCTGTCCGCGCTTTACCTGCCAGCAGGCAATCACGATATGGGGCTGCTCTGCTGCGAGGGCCTCCACTGCGTCTTGCTCGTGCACCTCGTGTCCGTACGGCTGGCCTGATGCCAGGCCCCGCTGTCCGCTGTCCGTGGCGACGATTTCAAAGACCGGTTCCTAAGGGCAGCGAGAAACAGGGGTGAGAAAAATCCGGACCGAAAAGGGGACCGGAATTCTGAGCATAAGACGAACATAACGGATGGCTCAAGAACACTGATTGCCTGGTTTCAAGAATCAGGGAGCGGCACTTCAGAAAGCGAGCATGACCATAGAAGAGAGGCAAACACAAACACGGTCAATCTGAGATGAAAGTTGGAAGGACCCTCCGTTTGCATCTCAGGTAGTTGTGAAGAAAAAAAGCGAGTCACGGGGTTCAGACGGTCTCGTCTTTCCAAATCATTTTCCCGTGGGCTATACTGCCAAGAGCAATGTTAGGAAAGCAGAAGCTACACCATTGAAACACCTATGATTATCCGTTGCACGCAGTGACTTCACGAATAGCGTCATCTGCATTGGCTCAGTCATCAGTCGTCTCCTCAGAGCATCCCAACCGTCTTACCAGTGAATCTGGTCAGCAATAAGCCACTTTCCTGGTCTTATTGTTGTCAGGCTGTTCCGAAGCGACTTGCTTATCAACCAATGCAAACGAGAAATGGACAAGAAAGCCATGAAGTCTGTACGAAAATAGACGACAAGCTCTTACCTTGCTTGCCTCCCCAGGCATTGGCTCCAGAAGCAGCCGCAGGTAATGAGAGAGACGCCCATCACCCGCCCCCACTTCTAATACTTTCACCCGCGGCAGGCGGTAAACAGCTGCTCGTTCTCTGCATGGATCAGGGGGTTCATCTTATTCTACGCTTTTTGGAAGGCTACAAAGGATGCCCATTTCTGTTGGCTGCTCTGTAGGCTGCCTCTTAACTATACAATGGTTGGAGAAATTGCCAGCAGAGCGGCATAGGAGGTTTGTCGATATTGTGGTGCTTTAGATACGAATCCTTTTTTTCCATGGGAGTAACAGAAGAAGAATACTGGCCAGTTACAACCAAGACGCAGGGGCAAAGGTTTGCTGAAGTTATGCATCCAACGGTAGCCCCCCAAGGCGATCGAAAGAATGCACGAGAGTGGCACTGTTAAATACTGTCTGCAGGATGAAGATGCGGGCTCCACTTGGCCTAGTTTGAGGCCCACTGCTGACGCCATGCCTCGGCAGAGACAGGTCTTGAACCGCCTTTTGTCCCCGCTTTCTCTAAGAACTTCAGCAGGACCTAGATTGTATTGCTGCTCTTCTTTCTGCCACTACAGAAGCTTGTCAACCAGTCCTCATGTATGCCACTCACCGTAGATAGGCTGCCAAGCCGTGTACAAACTCCCGTGTGAACACTTCGTACTGCACGTGCGTTCCTTCCGGCAACCTCCCCTCAACATAGGAGTGCCAGCAGTGGCAGTGCAGGCAGGAGCACCAAACAGTCCCATCTGCATTCACCTGGAGATTGGAACTGGGCCATACTGACATGATCATGATCGGTGTGGCTTCTCAAACATAATAGAGTGCCAGAGCCAACATGTAGGAAGACCCATACCGATACGAAATCTGCAGATCACAGGTTGTTAAAATCAAGAGTTGTGCCAAGCGGAATAGTGAGGGCCAAATGCTCTTTGAAATACATCAGAAGAGAGGAGCAACGTGAGCTCTGACAGGTTTGGACGGAATTGCATCTGCATTTGTTGTTAAGGTCGTGAATGCCACTCCCTCATCAGCAGGAAAGAAGCAGACTACAGGCATAACCTGGAATCACCTAGGGAGCTTAGCTGCTCACCTGAGGATTGCACAATCCGTCAATTTCGTAGAGCCCAAACCTTGCGACAATGCTCGCGTGCGTGGGCAGTTCATCTAGAGCCGACATTTGCTCATGGCAGTCCTGCATCTTAGTTTCATCGCATGCATTGGCAACGCCTGAAGAGCTCATAAGAACGTCGTGCTCAGCTCAGTCGAAAGTGCAAAGTGGACTGCTGAATCTTCCTCCTCGTTCTCCTGGCTTGGAGACGTCTTTTCTGCGCCTCAAATGCAATGAATAGTCATCAGTTTGCTACAACTAAATACAAGCTTTGCTGTGCCCAATGCACATTGCTGCAGGTCAGTACATTCCTGCATGACATTGAGAGCAGCTAAACCAGGAGTCCGAAAAGTTGGTTAGTCTTGGAAACCCGAGACTTGGAGCCCTCAGTTCCTCACCAGCGCCCTCTGATACAATCCTAACCGGGCGCCGGACCGCAACAAAACCTTGTTTCGAGTGTTCAAACCCTAATCTGGACGAGGAAGGCTTCAGCGAGGTCAACGATTTGCATAATCTGCTTCTTGAACCTCAGGCTTGTGAAGCGCTACTCAAATGTGATTCACACCTCTGGAAGCAGAGGACACGGTCCATGATGGCGTTCAGGGAAAGCAGATCGACTTGGCACAATTCGTTGAAGGGGCAGCATTGGAGTCTATGTGGAAAGGAAGACACTGCAAGAAACAGGATACTGTCTGTACCGAATGCAAGGACGAGGGCATGGGCAGTGCTTCACGGAGGAACATGCCCCTACAGGGCATGCTTTGACTTCCAAAGTACTGAGGGTTTGAAGCAGGATCCATCAAAGTGTTGGAAAGGCTGCATTCCGGCAGACTGCAGATGGTTTATTTCTGATTCACGTAACTTGCGCCAGATTCAAATCCAAAGAGCCCCATTTGCCAGGAAGGGCAGGTGTCGTTTGCGGACCCCATTAGGGATCACGTACGGCCAACAAGTTTCTCTGAGCAATCGTTTTGCGCCCAGACTGGTTTGGTAAGACGACATGTACCGCTAAGGTCACGGAGACCGCGAGCAAGATTGGGCACATTCATAATGGCTCTCAGATGGGGCAGGCAAATCCAGGCTGTTGTGCTCCTGGTACTGGTGCTGATGCAAGCAGCCTCGTTCGTCCGAGGTGGGCCTACAAAACTTTCTGGAACGAACCACAGATTAGCAGGATTTGAACTGAACTTCCCGTCAACTGTTGTTCTGTTTGAAAATTGCGCGACCTTCCCCTTAAGCTTGCTGGTTGTGTTCGGTGTCAGGACCTTGAAGTGAATAGCGCCAGACAAGTTCGTACATCTGCATTCAATGAAATCATCAATGTCAACGGTCACGTGGTGAACTGAGCAGCAACTTCCAAGAACACAGTTGATCATCTATACACTCTGGCCATCAATGCCGGTCGGTAGATGCCCTGCTTCAAAGGACCTTTCTGAGAATTCTCATAGCACTGCCAAACGAGGGTTCCTGATCAGGTTGGATAATCTGGTATGAGCGCCACAAATCAGAGTTGCCACTGAACAGCTGAGGCAGAGCACGAGCTTTTGAATACTGCTTCCATTGGTCCAGGAGAACTTTGAAAGGATCCGGGAATGCTGTTTTCTGTTATCCAAAAGTTCAAAATGCTGTGAAGTTCTCACAATCTCGTAGGACTTTGGGCAAGAAGGAAAAGGCATAAACCCCAGCGGCAACTTTTTCAAAAGCTCCTTAGTGGAAGGGAACCCCGAGCATAAGCATTTTTGATCCTATCCAAATTCTTGAAAACTGCCAGTGACTCCAAGGTAATTGATTACAAAGACATGAAAGGACGTACTCCTAAAACATTTTGCATGGGCAACAATCGAGCCGACTACAGAACAAGCATTCTGGCGAAAGTCCACAGGTCCAAGAAGCACTCTGATCTCTTCAGCCCCTGATTTTGCTACAGGCCAAAGTAACGTGCGGCTGTGCGTGGTTGGCCCAGACGAACTCAAGCAGTGTGAGAAGCTGTTAGCAGTTCTGGCAGCATCGCCGGGCAAACCCAGCTGGATCTGGTAAGGCCATCAAAAGCCGTGGGCCACTGAGAGCCGTACTCATATCTGAGAGGTCGTTCCACTCCTCTGTTTGGTCGAGTGTCTATTCGCCCCTGTTAGGATCTCTCACTCAAGCTGACGGCTGACCAAGCAGCTCGTTTGAGTTGAACAAGTTGGAACAAGAAGCGCAACTACAAACGGGGCTTCTGCAGAATTGAACCTCCAATCCTTTTCATCCCTGGATTCGGAGCTTTGCTTGACTGGTAGACTCCGATGACATGCCGTCCGACTCTGCTGACGTCACTCCCCCAGCTTGCTGACATCATCAGCCCTGTCTTCTGCGCAGCGTGCAGGAGAACGACCGCGAGGGGTGCGTTCTGGCGGTGGGCAACAGCGTGGCAGATACCATGGTGGCCGCGCCGGGGGACATTGTACACGCATACCTGCAGTTCGGCATGCGCGCAGCACTTGCCGAGGTATGGCAATCCCTTGCGCTTTCTTTTGAGACTTCTGATGCAGAGGTACAGCGTCGAGACTTCTGGTCCGAAACGTCAAACGTCCAGGGGCAGGATGTGTTCGCTTTTGCCTTCTGGGGGCAGGACGTGCGATTGCAGCTGTTTCGCCTCTTTCTAAGACCCACTATTGCCCGGTGCCCCGTCCTTTGAATGGGCGACAGGAATCTGCTATCATTTTAAGGAAAGAATTTCTTGTGCGAGTGCTCACTCAGACCCCATCCACCCCAAAGTTCCCAACCAGAGTTTGTTTTACAACTTTGCCACTCAAGTAAAACCTTGCGCCCCACGAACCTCCTTCATGTGTAGCCTGTCAAGCGCTTCAGCATACTAGTTGACTGCCTAATTCCAAAGCTCTGCTGAAACCATGCCTGGTGCTCCGTCCTCTTTCCAACCAACGACCCTTTGCATTTAATGCAAAGTCTTGTAAAAAGGATGACATGCATCAACTTCCGTGTGCTAAATGGGGATAAGATGATCTATAAGCACCTACAATCTTCGCAACCGGTGTCTTCTCCCAGATCCTTCTCTATAACGCTTTGTCACACCGTGTCTTCCAGAAGCGCTAATTCATGCCACGTGTCACCCCCAGGTCTACTCCCCGAGCCCCTCCTTTGCTGACGTGGCAATCGTGGACAAGGCGCTATGCGACGCCCAGCCCAACTTGAGCCTCGCCGACCTCGCGGGAAAGCGCGCCTGCTTTGCGGGCTACCGGGATGACGCCGGCTGGGATCTGCTGCTCGGGGTGCTCGTCGACAAAGGCATCCTCCAACCAGTGAGACGCTCGTTCTTGCCTCTTTTTCACATCCACTTTACGAATCCATAAACTGCAATTGTCCTGTTCCTTTCAGTCTGAAGTGCTCGTGAAAGGCGTTCACCTTTGACTCGTGCTCCGTCTGTTGGAGCTCGACATTTCGAAAGTGCCGAAACGGTTTACAGAACGACCCCGCACCGTTATCTACGACAAATGTCCGTCGTGGAAAGCGCCTTCTGGCTTCTGAAATGGGGGGGCCTTGTGTCTTGAGTTGTTCGTTGTTTACCTCTTGGAAATTAAGAGTTGCGAATCGTCGGCGAAGGGGTTGATTATTTGGTTTCTCGCTCTCGCGGTTTCCAACGCGTTTCTTCCTTTATGGTTCCTCTTTCGGACTGTTTCAGGCTTACGAAGAGTCCGAGAGGAACGTTTCCAAAACATAGAAACGTCACAACCCAGAGAAGCGCCTTCCATGCTATTGCGCTTCTGTACCGATGACCACGTGCCATACTTCTCTAGAATACTTGTAGTAAGCTCAAGTTATAGTAAGGACGAACCTAACACTAAAAACCTAAACCCAAGGAATCACCCGCTCCGCACTCGTACCCACCCTAACCACCATACTAAATGTACCCGTCCAGTACTATAACTTGAGCTTACTATTCCTACTCTAGAGAATGATTCACGTGCCCTTTCCGCAGGTGAACCAAGATCCGGCTGTTGCCAACGACATCGAGACGGTGGAAGCGTTCTTTTCCAAGGTGTGCGCTCCGGGGCCGGCCGACGGCGAGCGGGTGTGCTCTGGCTGCATCGGCGACTGCTCTACCGCGGTAAGCCACTTCTCGCCTCTTCGTGTTCTCAGCGACATTCCCATTTTTCCGACTTTTGATCATCTTTCGCTTGTCGGGCTTCGTTACTTTTTGGGATTTGAAGTTGCTTGTGTTCAGCCCTTTGTGGGCATGAGGTCGAGCCAAGTTGTTCAAGAACGAGCCACCCTCGTGGGGATTGGTGTCCCCTTTATTGAATGGGTTTCCAGCAGCAGTATGCACTTCCAAGTTTCGAAAATTGGGGGTTCAGCAGCTTTGAAATTCCTTCTATTATGCATCGTCTCATATGAGGTACTTTGCTGTTCAGGCGGACATTTACAGCGGTCAGGAGGGCGCCCTGCAGTGCGTCAGCGACAAGGCTGGTGACGTGGCCTTCCTGCGCAGCGACACGTTGCAGGCCTTCCAAGCCAACAACCTTGCCACGGGCCGCACGATCCGGGCTGCATCCGAGTTCAGGTGCGCTTCAAGCGTCCAGATTAAAGCTACAGCTAGCTTTCTCAGGCTTCGTCACTCTGTCTTTTGTCTCTGATCTTGAGAATTTATCTGTGTCTTGTTTCGCCCGTTCTGTTCTCCTTCCGTTTCCTCTCGTACTCCCAAGTTTTTCAGAATAACCGGAGGTCGTCAACCTCGACGACGACCCGTTTTCCACCTGTGACGTTTGACGTCGTCCGATTTGCAGTCGCCCCTGGCAAGGATGCGAGGCGCCATACCCAGAAGCAAACTCACTCGAAGTTTGACCGGCCACGTCACCCCCCACCCATGACGTCACATCTTGACGTCATCCCCGGTCGCTGCCCGCAGGTATCTCTGCCCGGGGGGCGGCTGCCAGTCGCTGGACCAGGGCCTCAGCGGCTGCTATTTGGCGCCCATCCCGGCCTCCGCGCTGCTCACGCGCCGCTTCTACGACGCGTCTGCCATCCAGGCCACGCTGACGTCAGCAGCAGCTGACGCGGGCTTCCAGGTGCGTCAGCGACGATCGTCCGAGGATCTGCGCTCTCAAGCTGACGTTGCGTCTGACCGGAGTGGATTTGCGCTCAGGCGCGGAGATCTGCGGAAGCGTTTGGACAGGCTCCAAATCTTGAGAAACTGCAGCAGCACTTACATTAGGATTGGTAAAGCGAAGCGTGAATCTCCGGCTGGAAAGTCCGAATACCCGGAACTCTCGCAATGTTTGGGGTCTCGAAAACAGAATATTCAAGGCTCACTTTGCGAACTAGCTTCAACTGAGACCAGTTTGAAAGCATTTGAATAGATAAGAAGCTGTTCTAGATGCATAATAGAGAAATAGAAAGCCGTTCTGATTCCATCATGTCTCACGACTCCATTTCCCTTTTTTTGCCAGGCGCTCTTCATGAACGGCTCCAACCCTGCCGGGCTCATCTTCTCCCCGGCCCTGTCGGGCTTCCAAACCGTCACCGCGACCCAGCTCGATTATGTCGGACCGGAGGCCCTGCGAGCCTACGAGGCCTTTGACACCATCGACGGCGCCCCGCTGCAGACGTCCCCACAGACCGGGGGCGGGGCGATAACAAACTTGGGTGAAGACTCTTTTGCACCTCTTACAGCTTCTCCCGACCAACCTGCCAGTTTTAGTGTCATCTAAGTTAGACTAGTTTCACTCAGCTACAGGCTGACTAAGTTACACAAATATTTTCCCTAAAACTAGCAGGTTGCTCGGAAGAAGCTGTACCGGTAGCGAGGTCCTATCACTTCAGTTGTTTGGAATGCTGAGACTCGCAATTTGAAGCGTGTTACGATGCAGGCGGAGCAGTTTCAGCGAAGCAGGCGTTGCCGTCTTTGAAGTCTTCAGTATAGTCGAGTTCGGGGGATGGTGATACGTCTAGCGACTGTAAGGCCCTGTGCTATGTAGTGGTGTTTCATGGCGACTTGTCCTTGATCGTCTGGCCACAAGTCTAGTTGAAAGGTCCGAAATGGCTTAATTCAGTCGTTCTCCTAAGCTCTTCGGTCCAATTGCAGGAGGCTAGACAAAAGCGAAATACTTCCGAAACTTCGAGATGTGATTGTGAGAGTGCATAACGGCAGTTCCAATCTTGCCGGTCTTATCGCTATTCCTTTAAACGGATTCTCAACCGACATCACAAACGTTTCCCGCTCTTGATCGTGTCCGCAGTTCCCCCGCCGTACATCCTCAAATGGTGCACGACCTCCGAGGAGGAGCAAGCGGTGTGCCTCAGTATGGCCGTCATTCTCAGGGTCAACGTCAACCCACATTACGTCTGGGGCTGGTAAGCGCCGCTCCTTGCCTCGTATTTTCGGACAACATCTGCTATTAACCAGAAGTGTAAACCAGATTTCAGGCAGGTCTACGCAGCGTGATTCGCTGCTGACCGTCAATAGAGTGAATAGATCTCAAGTGCCAGAAATCTTCTGTTTTTCGCAGTCCATCCATGTCCAACTTGAGCTCGCCGTCTCTTCTTTTGGGCATCCACGAGTCGTCCGTCAAGCGATTTGGATCTTTCAGCTACGACAGCGGATTGCTGCATTCCTGTCCTTAAACTTGGTGCCGGTTGGAGGGAGATGAAAAACAAGAGACATCCGAACCACCGCTCCTCTAACAAACATGAAGCCTGATTCCAAGCCCCATCAGTCTAGGTGGGTACAATGCCTGGAAACAGAATAAGAATAGGTTGGCCGAAACCCGCTTTGTTAAACCCGCTCACGTTTAGAGTTGCAGTCGCCACGATCTCTTTTTACTTTGGTACCACCCGTCTCCAAGTTCAGACAATCTCTTCTTCTCGTTTGCATCAACAACCGTCCCTCAGGCATCTCAGGCCTTTGCAGCCACTCTCCGCCGCGCTTACATCTGAAGGCGGCAGCGCCGCGTCGGATACTTTCTTTCTATTCCCTCTTTCTCGTTCAGAATGCCTTCCGTCAGCATGAGCAACCCTTGACTCACCCTTGCTTTTCCTCCGCCAACACGACGTTTCTATCCTCTTTCAAATCTCGGTCACTGCATCGGTGCACCATTTTTCTCTTTTTAGGGATTTCGGGATGCCGGGTATTGCCCTAAGCTTATTAGATTCCGAGCCACCGTCCAAGGGGATAATGCATGCGAAGGAGAGGAGAGGACGCAATGGAATACGTACAAGAAAGGTCCGTTATGTTGGCTCCTCATTGTCCCCTTCTGTCGTCCGTGTGCAGCGTCCAGATGCCATCCCTTGCTGATTGCATTCTGGCGATCCAGAAAGGGATAGTGGACTTCGTGACGCTGGATGGTGGGGACGTGTTCTTGGGCTCTGCATATTACCAGCTCAAGGCGTTCGTTTCCGAGGTGAGTCTGTTAACGACTGGATTAAGGTACTGACGCTTAGAAAACAAGTCACATGTCTGGAAGCTCAAGGGTTCGTCGTGTTTCCAGGATGTCGGGACTGCGATTGGGAAGACTCTGGCTTTTCAAAAGAGGGTTGAGTCAGGCTTCTTCCATCCGTTGACGAGTTGGGGTGGCCTGAAGCAGGATTCTTGAAGTTATCCAAAGCATCCAACTGGTTTCAAAAACTGGAGCATGCCAGAACGCAATTCTTCCAGTATTTGCGTAGGGCAACAACCGACCCCCTCTTTCCACTTGCAGGTGTACTCCCAAGGCTCCGCTGGCGCCGTCAGCAGTGACGTCATCCGCGCGGTGGCCGTGGTTAAGAAGGAATTGTGCGACGCAAACCCATTTTTGAACTTCGCGGCCCTGCAGGGCAAGACGAGCTGCCACCCCTACTACCGACAGGAAGCCGGGTATGAAGACGTCACCTCTCGTAACCCGGCTTTTTGACGATCGGTGGTTTGACCCTCACGCACTTCCAGAAAGTGTCTTGGATGACATCCTAGATTGGCGGTTCATCTTGCACTCACAATAACTTTAGAACTCTTCACCGAACCCCTCGTACTCTTTTCTGATCACAGCCCTCGTCGCAAACCTTTCGAGAACACCCACTTGAGGCTTGACGCTGACCCTTCTTGCGGCCTCCTTTTGCTGTCTAACCACCGCCAGCCCGTTCCTAACCCACAAATATTCCTCAATTTTCAGGTGGGTCGCACCGGTTGGTTTCCTGCTCGACTCGGGCTTCCTCCCGACCATCAACACCGACTTCAGCAAGCGCAACGACCTGGAGAGCGTGCAGACGTTCTTCGCCCGGGTGTGCGCCCCGGGGAACGAAGCCGACAGCCGCGTCTGCAGCGCGTGCGCGGGGAACTGCTCCATGCAGGAGCCGTTTGCGGGAGACGCAGGTCAGCGTTGCCCTTTTTCCGGATGGCAGATCAAGTTTAACGGCCCCATTATGTAAACACGTTGCTTGGACAAGAGATTCAACGAGAAGGGGATGATTGAAGTTTTGAGCAGTGTAGTGGGTCGAACAGGGGTCCTTGTCGCTTATCTAACGCGCAGTCAAGGAGGCAGGGGTTGCGCCCTGATTTGCAGTCTTCATTTGTGCAGCGAAAGTCTGTTTTTCTGGAGCCAGTCTTTGGAGTACGTTTGACCATAAAATCTGTCCTTAAAAAAAGACCGAGAGAAGAAAACGGGACCCGCAAGGAAAGGTGGTAGACGTGCCCAGGAAAGCTTACAGTGCAGTCGATTCAGAGTGCGCTCCTCTTGTGTCTCCATTGCCGGCCATTTCGCCCTTCATACAGCCCTCTTCTCCAACTCTTTCCCGCAACTTAAGATCCTAAAAGCCAATGTCCTCGCACAGGTGCCCTCAACTGCCTGATGAACGGGGGCGGCGACGTGGCTTGGGTGGACGCAAACGCGGTGACCAATTATGCGAAGGGCGGGCCGCTCGCACAGAAGTGGGCCAACACCACCGTCGATGGCCTCCGGTGAGCCATCGACGGCTCCTTGCTGTGCATTCATGCAACGTGTCTTACCATGGTCAAGTGCCTGCTTCATGAATACGATTTGCATTCGGCCGAATCTGGAGGGACATGGCCTTCTCAAATCCGTGCTGGGGCTCTGAAAAGAGGAAGCGAAAACGAGAAACTAAATATTGCTTTCGATATCAAAGGGATTGTAAGCTTGCACTTGAAGTAAATGGCCCTCGTTTGACAGGAACCAACTTTGGACCATGCGGTTTATAGATTCCTACGTCTCTCACTTTCCTCCCAAGACCCTGAATCTTTCTACACCCGCCCTGCCGTAGCCGAGGCTCCCGTAAAAGTTGCCGAACCCAAAACTCTCAGAATGCAAAATGCTACAAACCCTAACCCTCTCCTAACCCGTCGCTTAACCCGCAGGTTGCTGTGCCCGGACGTGGGCTGTGTTGAGGTGGGCCGAATGACGGCGGACTGCGTGCTCGCGAGCGTCCCGCCGCGCGCCGTGGTGACACGTGGCGACATGGCGATTGCCATACCGGGGCAGATCCTGCTGAATGCAACGCGGGACAAGGCCTTCCAGGCGCTCTTCTTGGGGGGGACCAACACCGGGAGTTTCGTCTTCAGGTGGGGGGCCAGGAAAAACGATTACCTTTCTCCTCCGGCCCCAAACGTCGTGGAAGAAGATGTTGGTACTCCAAAGAGTGACGTCCCTGCTTCTTTATTGGAGCGTCAGCTTCTTCCATTGAAAATAAAAGCAGAAGAATCGTGCTTGACTTTCAATAGCTTGGTCGCTCAGCGACGCCCCTTCAGAAAGTTAGTGCATTTGGAACCCTTTGCTTAAGCACCGTTGATGTAACGTCGAGCTTATCGAACTGATTGTAGTGTTTCGAACGCCGGTGCAAGGATGGCAAGGGTCGTTCTTGACTTGATATAGATGTTCCTCAGCATAGCGCCCCTTCGGACAGGAACGTTCGCAATTAGGACCCTGTCATTTCGGATTACAAGAGTCTTGTCCAGCGCTCTTGGACTGACCTTCGTGTTTCGGACGCCGGCGCAGGGCGGACACGCGCGGTCTGGCGCCCATTACGACGAGCACGGACGACTTTCTGGGCGCGAGCACGCTCGAGGCGTACAGCGCGCTCTTCGAACTAGACGCGGCGCCCGTGGCCACCAGTGAGCATGGATTCTTTTTGAGAAAACGCGAGAGGAAAAGCTTGGAAGTTCAATTGCTATAGGAAGGATTCATTTTCGACGGCTGTGGTGCTCTTCGGTCACGTTCTGGTCACCGCCGTTGCTTGAGGCCGTTCGAGTTGGACACTTGTTCGTTCTGATCAAACTTGGCAATGAGCCGCCATGCAGAGGTGAGAACTCGATAGAGCAATAGATCTCGTCTTGCCGGATGATCGAAGTGATCTCCACGAATAGAAGTTTCTTCTTGCGCGGAATCTCCAACCGTTTCTGGAGTAGAGGAAATCTTATAAGACCTTCACAAACCAATAACCTTAACTAAAGGAAGACACAAAGTAAGACACAAACAAGAATAAACCAGAGACAGAAACGGACCTATAACCTGCAGACGTGATTCGGTGGTGCCTCCCCGGCCGGCCCGAGTACCAGCAGTGCCTGCTCATGCTCCCCGCACTGCAGGCCACCGAGCCGTCCCTCAACTGGCAATGGCAAGCACCGCCTCTCGTTCGCCTTTTCGATTTGTTCCGCTTCTTCTGGACACTCACCCTTGTTTTTCGATCATCCATTCCTACATTCGTTCTGTTGGTGCACTTCTTGCGGCATTGATGGAAGCTTTAGCATTTGCTTTAGGCAGAGGAGTCCGGGCTTCTTTTCTGCTTGTTTGCTCTGTCTCTATGACCCTTCTCATGTCCCTTGCTCCGGTCCTTCTTCCCCAGACTCTGCCTCTCTAGTCCTTCTCGTGCAACCCGTTTGGCGGCTTTACAGAAAATGCCCCGTCTTCTCCACCTTCATCCTCCGCTGCCCTTCAGCTATGCCGCTTGACACGTGGCACGCCGTGCAGCATCCTGCGCAACACGACGCAGGCGTGCATCGACGCGGTGACGTCAGGTGACGCCGAGGTGGTGATGCTGGACGGGAACCACATGTTCGAAGAGGTCAAGTCCGGCAGGGTGAGGTTTCTGCCCCGTCTCTAGTTCGCCCGTTCTTGCAGCTACTCGTGCTGCTTATTTGAGCAAGGAAAACTCAAAGCTGCTCCAGATTCAAAAGTGCAACAGTATTTTTGGCTTTCTCGGCGCACCGCCTTTTGGTTGCTTCAAGAGTGCCACAAAACGAAGCCTTTTACAGAATCTAATTGCAGAATCTGACTCCCGCGAGGCCCATGTCCGTAGCTGGACACTTCGCAGCCCTTGCTGCTATCATCACGCTTGATTTTTTCCCTCACCACCGTTGCTTGGTATTTGTTGTCCTTGTTTCGTGACGTTTGTTTTTCGTACAGTCCGTTCGAACCCTGACCTGACACTGACGAGGCCCTGTTTTCCATCGGGCAGCTGACGCCTACGGTCTCCGAGAGCTACGACGAGCTCCACTCGCTGACATACAGGGCCGTGGCCGTGGTCCGGAAGGAGTTCTGCGACCGCGAAACGATCCCGACGCTGAAAGACTTGCGCGGCAAGAACTCGTGCCACGGGAGCACGCTCTCCGCTTACGGCTGGACCGTTCCGGTGGGCGACATGCTGCGGAGCGGAGCGATGTCGCCGATGAACGGGGACCCGCAGGTGAGTTCCCGCTGACGATGCGGGCTTTTTTAGACTTACGTGCCAGCGATGCAGCATCGTTTACACTCAAAGAGACAGAATCGAGGTTGCAATACGGATCATTTGAGCAGCCCAATAGCCGGCCAGTGTAGGCTTGTTGTTCTTACTCGAAACGTAAAACAAATGTTAGAAAGGCTTGATCTTGATTCAATCAGTTTCCAGTGTCATTGATATAGGGAATTGTAAGGCTATTCGGCCAGGTTGTATCACGTCTTCAACTCAGGAAGCTGCTGGTTAGCATCAAACTCAAGTAAGGCAATGCTTGGGGGAGGTTCTACGCGTCACTTAGAGCAAAACTGTTCATCATTGTTCCTGAGAGGATTGCGTTGCTTTTGAACCCCTCGAGGAGGCTTCCTGAAGCATTGCCAGAAACAGAACGCGATGGTCAGGTTGTGCGTCACGCTTCCAACGTTCCTCAGAAAGATGGGTCCAACCGAGCAAGAATCAAGTGCTCGTCCTTGCCCCCGCAGTTACCGAACGACATCGAGTCGGTGGAGCAATTCTTCGGCAAGAGCTGCGCCCCGGGGGAGGTCGACTCGCAGCGCATCTGCACCGCATGCCCCGGGGACTGCGGGCTGCACACCGATCCTTATTTTGGCACCGTGGGGGCCTTCCGGTGCCTCATGGAGGGGGCGGGGGACGTCGCCTTCGTGCGGCACACCACGCCCGGGGAGTACGCGCAGGGAGGCCCGGGGGCTCAGGTGAGAGTAGAAAGTTGCTGAGAACCGCGATAAGAAGTATGATTGCTGTGAAAATTCGCCGCTGATCCTGACGTCGTAATGGGTGCCTCATGTAAGGCAGACAGAGTCGCGGCGGTCAACTTCTGTATTTGTGCCAAGAGCTTGCATCAAGCTGGACTACGAGGCTTTCATTGGTGTCATGATTTCTTAGTCATGATCCATATAGGATCGGGTCTCACAATCAATCCGCCCTCACTGTCTTCACTTTGTGACCTCCTAAGCTCTGATGGGCTTGATATTCTAACTTATACTTCCCTTTCCGCAGCCGTGGTCCACTCTCCCGGCCTCCGAGTTCCGCCTGCTTTGCCCCTCGGGGGGCTGCGCGGCGATCGGGCAAGAGGCCACGTGTGCGTTCACAAACGTCCCCGGCGCGTCGCTGCTCGCGCGTCCGAACGTGGCCGCGAACGCGCTCGCGCTGCTCCAGGGCGCGCTCGCGCGGCTGGGCGACGGAGCGAGCCCGCATTTCAATTACCTCTTTGAGCAGAGCAAGAACACGGCCGGCCTCATCTTCGACTACAAGTGAGGCGCCGCAGCCTTTCCTCAAGGGAACGCTCGATTGCCTTTCCCGACGTCGCCGTTCGAGCAATGTTTTCAGTGCCGTTCGGATCTTGATGTGGTCGCAGAAAGCGCTTGGCAGACCCATAGACTCGTTCTTTGTGACTTCGATCACAGCCAGCAGGGGTTTGGAAGCGCTGGTAATCCCAAAGACGGTGTTTTAGCGCAACATGCCGTTCCTTTGCCCTCGAATCTCGTTAGGAGGGTCCGGTTTGTTGTGAGACGACAACAGCGCCGTCAGCCTTTCCGACAATTCTCACAGCACATTAGCGAGAACCGATTGTCCCGAGAAGCGGAATAACTCTGCGTCTTTAAGGCTTGGCACGCCTCCTCTTTTCCGCATTGTCACCAGTGGCTTCGTCACACACTCCGGGGAACTTTCAGAACAAGTCCTGTTGCTTCTCGCCCGCTGATGCTGACGGTCACTGTCCGTCCGTTGTGCAGTCTGCACTCCTTGAACCCGATTAACGAGACGGCCGAGGTCTTCCTCGCGTCGACGAGCCTGCAGTTCGCCTCGTTTGGAGCGCTGAGCGAGTTGGCACTGCAGCAGGGGGTCCCTAGCAAGCGGGCCCAGCACGGGCTCGGTAAGCTTACCCCGACCCACGTGTCCTCAGCATGACCGTTTTGAAAAGACAAGTGTCCCTCGGATGAAGGATCCCCGGGCCTTCGACAGGGGTGTCCAGGGTTGTACACTGGGGCTCATCCGAGCGAACAGGTGTAAGATTCGTCGTTTTATCCGGCAGAAAGATGTGACGTCTCGGGCCGACGGCTATCTTTGAGCAGCTGTTCGATGCAGATATTCTGAAGTGCAGTCGTTCTGCGGTGTGTGGTGATTTGAGGCTGGTCATGGTGCAAGGTCAAATGTGGGCGTTGTCGATAGCTGGTTTCACGAAGTTGACAGTGTCAATTAGGTGATTGATCTTCTCCCTAACATTTGATAAAGCTAACGAACCGAGTCAGATGTCCTCCCTTGGCCGTCTCCTATCATAGAACAAAGTCTTCAAAGGGAAATTTTTCTGTGCGTTACAGGTGCAGGTGCGATTGTGGGCATTGTGTTTGGAGTGCTGGGCGGCGTTATGCTCATCCTGGGTGCTTCCTTCTTCGTGTGGAAGAAGAAGTTCCTGCAGAAGAACCGGATGTATCGGTATGAAAGGTCCGAGAGCAAACTGAAGCTGACAGCCCTGTAGATACGACTGACATAATGCGGAAGCAGCTGTAGCATAAGGTTGCCACCTTTGCTTAGAGATCAAGCTCGGCTCTTGTAGTCCTCAACCAGCTTGTGAAGCTACCCTTGTTGGGATTTGCACCAGAAATATTGTCACTGAAGTGGAGTTGTTTGTAGATCGATTTAGCAGTACAAGTTGGCATGCGAGCCTTTGTCAAACATTGAGAATGCAGTTTGGGTTGGACAACCTAGGGACAACGTCAGAGCAGCTAGATAATGTCCGTTCGAGAAGCTTTGCGGTCGTCTCCGCCATTGTGGAGACGTACATTTCCTTTCCGGGCCGCCTGGTTAATTCAGTTGTCACCACAAAACTTGCATCAGTGCGGTTCTGCCAGCTACGTTGTGCACAGTCAACTAGCTGTTGGCTATATAGATGTCAGGCCCTTGAGTCAAACCAGTCCAGGCCGGGCGTTTCCTGATTGTGGACCGTACGATGTATAGCACTGAGGTTCTCATGCTGAGCGGCTGGATTCATTTGATTGCCAGAATTACGATTGAGACAGCGTGTTGTGGGCTGGCTCCGCATGCCAGGTCTCTCCACCCACACCTATCATGCTTCATATGTTAAACTTTGTCGAACCCGATCATGGGTACACCGCGTTCCACTAATTACCTATAGCACATGACCGGAGTTGGCACATGGGCGGCATGCGGCATTCAGTGCTAGCTTGCCACATGGTCACTGATTGCCTTCACGTGCATGTGATCGGACAATCATATAATGTTTTTAAGCCGCGCACGTGTTAGCAAGCATGCATGCCAGCCGGACGATCTAGGCCGTGTATCAAAATATAGCTTTTCAGTGTTCTAAAAGCTTTGAACCTTTCGAAGCTTCGACGCAGGTTATCATGGAATAATAGCATTCAACGTTATCGTGACCGTTGTAAATCAAAGCTCGTAGAAGCAACCACAATTATTGCAACCCGGCCAACTTGAAAATACTATTCGAGCCACCTCAGTTCACCTATACTCATACATTCAACCGCCCGGCCATGCATTGCAATGCTTGGCTGGGCGATTGAACGTATGAGTATAAACGGCACTGCAATGCACCGTTCCATGCATGATCCAATCCAGCACCTTGCTGCAAAGAACTTCGCAGCGGCGCAGATCGAGGTTTTAATCGTTTCCCATGAAAGTGGAGCGCCTCAGCGCGTTGTACGAGCATGGTGTTTTGGCACAATTGTCTGCACTTGGTCCTCTGCTCTGGTTCGGTGCAACGTCAAACTGCTGCCGTGCGACAGTGGTAGACAAGTTCTTCTGTTTCAATTTCGGCAAGCTTCACTTTCTACCAGATTCTTTGATTTGGAGTGACAGGGGCAAGCATTGCTGCCCAGTTTGACCGAAGAGTACATACTTGGGGTTCTTGAGGCTTGGGGAAGTTGTTGGTGAGCAGCAGAGTACGTACCATACCACAAAGAAAATCTGTAGTTTTGTCGATAGAGTACGCAAGTATCACACTAGCGCTCTTCAAAGAAGTGGTACAGCTTGCCTCGCACGAAGAAGTCACTGTCCTGCTGCATTGGAAATGTCTATGCATCTAAGTCCAAGGAGAGGTTGAGAAAGCAATCAAAGACTCCAGATGCCTGTCACCTTGAAGAACTTGTCCAATTTGCGCAACAGATTGGCAACTTGCTTATATTATTATTGTTGACTTCGAAGGAGGGGCTTGACGACAAGAGCAAAAGTCAGTGTGCCGCTACACATAGTGCCGATGATTGCATGCCTCAAGCTTTGCAAGTTTAAAGCACTCCACTGAAGTAAGTAAGACTTGGCTTTCTAACTTCCGCCAAAAGAGCGCATGCCACTAGCTCTCTCAACTTTGTCCTACCTAGCGGCCTAGCCTGGGTCAGGTCCTACTTCCCGCTTGATTGTGCTCTGGAACGATAAATGAACTCAGAAGCTGCGGACATGGCAAGGAGGATCTTTGCTTTACACAACCATCCTTTCCTTGCATCGAAACAAGTTTCCATTGAAGCAGGTTGCCCCCCAAGCACATTCTACAGACAAATCCTGCCCAGGCCTATGCGCAAGGTGCTACCTTGCTGGCTATAGCATCCTTCAATATAAGATCATAATGTCCCATCACGAAACCACACAGTTGGATAAGCTTCTGAAAGGAGGTGGTGTTAGAAAACACCAGTTTGGTTGGCTGGGATGGTTGTTGATGAGAAACACCTCCCTTCCCGGTGCAGCGACGACACCGCTTAACCCCCGAAACCATACAGGGTCCTCCCCTGCCTCTTCAGGGCATATACAACATCGAACCTGCAAGAGAAGAGGGTTTATGTGAGACTGGTGTACTGGGAGAAGACTGAGGGGAGTGATCATAACGAGCCTCTTCAAAAACTCACCAAGTGCCACATTGCCAGATTGCAAAAGGTTCCAGTTGCAAACTGAGCACTTGAAGACAACAGCTGCCAGTACACAGAATCGTTACATTAGCCTCTGCAGAGAGGCTCGTTCAACAGCTGCAGCGGAGTCCTTTGTAGACTTACGCTGTGACTGTCTTGCGGCGAGCATGCTCCGTGTAGGTGACCGCATCACGGATGACGTTCTCCAGGAAAACCTTGAGGACGCCGCGGGTCTCCTCATAGATGAGACCGCTGATGCGCTTGACTCCACCCCTTCTTGCCAGACGCCTGATGGCGGGCTTGGTGATGCCCTGGATGTTATCCCTGAGAACCTTGCGGTGGCGCTTGGCTCCGCCCTTGCCCAGACCCTTGCCTCCCTTGCCTCTGCCCGACATCTTTGCTGGATGATGGAAGGTGACGGGGAGCTGGTAGATTCTAGAAGGAGAGCGAGAACGATGAACGCAATTGCTGATGCTTGACTGCTGGCTTGGAAGGCCTTTTATCGAACTGACTGAGCACGGAGAGATTCCGGTGGTCGCAGTCAGTATTTATTTACCCGGAAATCGGGGAAGTGAATGGCAGCTTCTCATTGGCTCGCTCGAAACGAACCCATGCATCGGCCAATGAAAGTGCCAAATCAAGAAAGTTCTGTCTCACTTACACACACCGTCCGATAAGATCAAATTCTTATCCGACGGTACAAGAGTCTCATCAAGGGTACCGCACGGGGTGGATACTCAGCGCGAGCAGCCCGCGATTCGCGGCCGGCTGTACACCGGCGCCCGCCGGCCGCGGCCCGGGCTGGCAAGGAAGGTTCGTGCGCGATTGTGACGCGCATACCAAACAGAGCCGGCAGTTTCGCTGTGCATCATTGCATGTGGGCAGCCTGTCGTAATCCGGTCGGCGCACGGACGGTTCTACCGTCCGATGAAATGTCTTGCGTTCAGCGACCGTCGATAAAGCAACCATGTGACATTCCGCGCTTCTGCAATTGAATTGCCGCAGACTGCAACTTCAGGTGCAGTACCGTATGTGACAGCCATGAGCTAATCATGGAGTGGCTCCCAGCTTCTCGCTGACTCTCAGCGTGTATACGGTAGAAAAGACGCGAGCTCTTGCCAGCTCAATGAGGATGCATATGCAAGGGTGTAATGCCGTGAGATCTAGCACGCTGAGCTGATCAGGAAGTCACCTGAGCGAATCCAACTGTAATGCTGTCAATCAGCAAGTCATATAGCGCATCTGCAAGGCACCTTACTTATGGTAGGTTCTTGCAGTTAGTCTGGGGTTGACTCTCAACTCGTACACCCTCGGATCTTTGATGCTTTAACACCTAGATTGGTGTGTGTGATTAACGTATCTGAAGTCATACCAACTATAGACATGTTTGAAGAATCACTAAACCCATTTTTCGGAGCAGCTGTAACCATCTTGAAGCAGATCCTCAACCAATCCTTGGCAAGTGGCATAGAAGTGCAGAGAGTCTTTCCGCGAATCTTCAGCTCTTTGGCACTGCCGCTTGCACCGCCGTTTGTCCACCCACCAGCAGAACTAGAAATGGCAGAGAGTAGTGCAAACACCACCATGATGGGCGTCGCAGCTGCCGTAGTAGATGCGTGCGCTGTCGCTGAAGAAGAGGAAGGCACCTGCTATGACCCCTACCAAGCAAAAGTCCTCAGCATTGTATCAATCTTTGTCATTTTGGTAGCGAGCGCTATTGGCGTGTTCTTGCCGCTCTTTGGGAAGAAGTGCCTCAAGAGCTGCCAACCTGGGAGCTTCGTGTTCATTGTTGGTGAGCGACGTAGAGCAATTGCTGTGTTTCCTTCTCGGAAGTCATGAGTATTGAATGTCATGCAACTCTCTTAGATAGCGCCCTAGATAGAAAACATTCAAATGATGACTGGGGGGAGAAATTCGGGCGTGGATCAGATCTGAGGGTATGCGTATTCCACCACTAAGTTTTGATCAAGATACAAGAGTCGCCTCCACACTGCCTAGTTGCTGCACGGAGTATAGCACCTCTGTAATGGTGACCGCTTCTGGGGTTTATGTCCATGACCCTTGTAAAGGTTATCGGACCCATGTACCCAGCATTCCTAAAGGCTTGATGACAAAATCAAATAGTCCAAAGTAGACGCAATCGGTTCTACTGTCCCAGCTTCGAATTAAATTGACTGGACCTTCTTCTCATACAGGAAAATGCTTCTCCTCCGGGATCGTCCTTGGGCTCGCCTTCACGCACGTCCTCTTTGACGCCGTTGAGAAGCTCCAAAGCGAGTGCCTAAGTGACACCTGGCACAAATTTCCGTGGGCCTTCTTCATTGCCGCCCTTGGAGTAGTTGGCAGCCTCGCACTTGAATTGTTAACCGTCAGTTTCCACGAACTGATCACCGGTAACGAGTCCCTAAACATTCTCGCCAAAGCGCACCACCATGAGGCGGGACAGTCCACGGAGAAGCAAGCAGCGGTGGTTAGCGCTGAGCCAACCGATGGCATCTTCGAACAGGTGGCAGTTGATGAGAGGGGGTGGACTAAAGAGGAGGCCGCCGCAGCAAAGGCGCTTCGGCGGAAACGAGTAATTGCTGAGGTGAGGTCTATTGTCTGCTTGCTTCATCCCATGACACTTCCCTCACGACAGCTTGTTTGTGGGCACTTCACACAAACATCCTTGCTGTTTGCTTGCGGGGTTTGTTATCTGGTCACGTTGCTTCTTCACCCTTTGATCTTGGTGGTAATTTTCTTGTATTGAGTCCGAAAGAGTTCTGCACACCAGGCTCTCAAGGCAAACGGAGTCTCTGCTAACGTTAGAGGCCAGGAAACTGCATAACGTTGAAAGCCAAACTTTCCCAGGAATGGAACGATTTCCAATGTGAAGTCAAAGTTCCTACCAACGAAGCCCAAGGCTCATTTGTCTGTTTCTAATCTCCTTCCAACGGCCCACTTTAGAACCAAGGAAAGTCAGAATTAGCAGGTAGCTGCTAGCTTTGACACATTGACCAGAGGGACGGTCCCTTTTTGGGGGACCCTGGGCACAAACCCTCGACCATGACCAAAGTCTTCTCAGAGTCTTCTCAATAGCAACCCTTAAGGCCAGTGCCGATCAAGCACCAGACAGCGGGACTTGTGAAAGGTCGCCCTTCCATTGAAGCTCCACCATGCCACATCCGTCTTGGTTCGACTTCCAAACCTACTAAATCGGCCACCCCTTGCGTTGACCAATCTCCGAACTTCTTCCTAAGTATCTCTGAAACCTCAAACCGTAGGATCTGCGATCCCCGAAGCTCTTGGAACGCAAGGTCTCCGACGCTCTAAAAACTTATGAACCAAAGTCTTATACTGTCGGCACTCGTCTTTGACAGGTCCTCGAGATTGGCATCGTGACGCACTCAGTCCTTGTCGGGCTCGGCCAGGGAACTAGCACCAACAAGTGCACCGTCACGACTCTACTGGTCGCCCTCATTTTCCACCAGATCTTCGAAGGGATTGCACTTGGCAGCTGCATCGTAGAGGCAGCGTACAGCCTTACGACCACTCTGTTGTTCGGAGGGCTGTTCGCGATCACGACACCCTTTGGGATTGCTCTGGGGCTTGCGATCAGGTAGGCATGGAATCCCTTTTTGCATCCCTTTTGCGGCTTTCTGTAACCGTCCAACCGTTTGACTGCGAACTTTCTTTGGAAATGTAAAATGGAGTGCGACCAGCTTCCGAAGGTTTTGGTGAAGGCAGTCAGATTCGATCCAGCGCCCTACGTTGAAGGAAGTCAAGGGACCCTCTCACGTGGGATCTCCTTGCCAATCGTAAGAGAAGCAACTGCACAACTCTCTATCTCTTCTTGCCGTACATAGAACAGGATTAGTCTGGCTTATGCAGTTGGTTAAGTTGATGTTCGCTCACCACACTCACCAGTGCTAACAGAACCGTACTCAGCAGTTGACCGTGGTCCATAAACAAGTTCTCCGAAAAGTCCAAAAAGTCTGCCTTTCATCAAACTGTTGTTAAGCTCTCACATCGAGTAAACTTGGACGTACCAGACTTCCAACATTTGCACACGGGATGAGTTTCGTTGCCGTCTCAGTCCAAGGTCAGCAACCCCAACTCCAAGTAACACAACGTTCCATCTGCATCTTCGTTCGTGCGCATCAGGGTGATCGGTCTCACCCAATGGCTCGCTTCGACTGCAGGTCCTCTTACAACGACCTGTCCGCTTCGTCCCTCATCACGGAAGGCATATTCAACTCGGTGACTGCCGGCATTTTGGTATACATGGCGACCGTGGACCTTATCGCCCACGACTTCTTTAGCGAGACCATGCTCAAGAGCCGAAAGACGCTCTGGTGCAGCTACGGCGCGCTTGTGGCGGGGCTTGGCTGCATGTCGGCAATCGCGTATTGGGCTTGATATGGCATGGCGTATGATGTCCATCTGCACGTACAGAGGGTCCGGCGGCACCTGGGGGAGCCGCTTTCCTCGTACTCAGATCTGGTTGTTTTGAGTCATTTAGAATCAAGGGTCTGTCCGACTCTGGGTCTGCAAGAACACGTAAATCATTATCCTCTTTTGAAAGTTAAGTATGGTATACATCAATGTCCAATTAACGTTGGCTACTTCAGTTGGTCGGGTCGATGCTGGCATGCAAGCATTGTGAATCTTGGGCCTGACTACATACTACATATAGCCAACGAAGGCTTGTCGGAAGGCTCAACAAGAGTATAGTTCATTGTCATGGTCCATGCTTTCCGAGCGCACACTATCAATCAAAGAGCTACTACCGTACTGTAAGACTGTGGATTTGAAGAGCGAAGAGTTGTACGTATATCATCAAAATAAGACTTGATCGACCATGCAGCCTTACTCAATTAAAGTCACCTGCAGCTCCAAATTTTATTGAGTGAAGCGGGTGAGCGGGACGACGTAAGTATACGTCCTTGGCACGCACGACGCATGCAGACCAGGGCGGGCCCGTCACTGTGACACATGTGTGATTGAAAGATCCGGGGTCGACGCAACGCGTTGCACCGTTGCGGTGCACCGCCAGGGCGGCGCGCCTATCTAGCTCACTCGAATTATTGCAGCCGCGCCAGGATATATCGAGATCCGTTTCGTTGAGCTGTTTATAAAACAATCCGAATGATCGTTGTACATATCATATCAGTCCGCGGGCCGCGCTGCCATTTCCACCGGATGGCGGACGCTGCTATCGCACATGGCGGCTTCCCTATCGAATTTCATTGTCAGTATCACATGTCATGATTGTGCAAGCATCTCTTAATGAGGCCAAACCACCCCAATCACCGGATGGTGGCGTCAGCAGATTCATAGTTGCCGTGAATTTTGATTGGCAGGGAACGCAGTCCCAAGATTGCGAGGCATTAATTCGAAGTAATGAAACCACGTACGTAATTCCTCAGGATCGAGGGGTCATTGTGCAAATGACCTGTGAAGGTTAACTGACGAACCACTTCCATACTATCTGCTGATCCGAGTCACCAAGTTTTGAGCCGCTTGTAACCGTTCATCTCTGTGTGCAGTCCACATAAGCAGCTCGCCAATCAAATTCCATCACTTGAGAACCAGGATGTGGCTTTTTCATTGATGCCAGCTAAGACTGGGCCTCTGCAAGCCACGAGTCTATCTGCTCACTCAATCAGCGACTCAGTCAAGCGCGTGCAACTTCACAGTCATCAAAAACATCACGGCAGATCATCGCAAAATCAGGCTCTTGCCAACGGTCCTGACAACAACCTAGCCCCCGAGCCCCTTCTCTTGGTACAATTTCACCAGATCCTTTTTGCTAATGTTCTTGACCGCCAGAATCTCGGTGGCATACCCCGCCGCCGTCAGCTCCATCTTCAGTTGGGCGACCGTCTTCTTGATGGGATCGCCCCCGCCCTTCGCGGCGACTGCGGCTGCCGGCGCGGGCCCTCCGGCTGCAGGTTACAAAAGCGACCGGTATGTCACAGTACAAGCGTATTATACTCCCCAAAAACGGGGAGGCCCGGTAGAAAACCTGGCAACGCTTGCTTATTGCGAAACCAAATGCGAAAGGAGTCTCGTTCGCGTCTGGTTTGACTAGCGCACCTAGACCCCGCCCTAGCCGCTCTTAAACCGAGCCTTCCCTTTCCAGCTTTCGATGACAACCGGTTTCACACACTCTAAGACCGATTACCATTTTCGCTCCCCTCTGACGATACTCTGTAGCCGTGTCATTCAGCAGCGAAGCAGATCACCCACCTGCTTCAGTGCGCGCGCGTTTTCGCGGCACTTCGGGGGTCTCCATGTCCACGTCCATTGGCCCCCCTCCTACAGCGGCCCCGTTCGCCTGCGCCTGCGCCGCCTCTCGCCCGTGACGCGCAATCCGCTCGTCCAAAACCTGCCGTTCAGCCGTCAAGGTCTGCGCGCAAGCGTGACAGGCAAGGATGAGCCTCGCTACGTCCTCCGCTTTAAAGAAACATTGCCTTGGCGATGTAGCTGCCCGGTATCGGTAACTAACAGAAGCTTCTCCGTCATATATTGCTTGTTCCAAGCACGGCAAGGGCAACAAACAGCGTCTGCTGATTACGAAATTTTGTCAGCATTGGAGCACATTCTGAAGATGGTCATCTGCTAGACATGAACCAGCTAAAACGTCGTCATAAAATCGCGCACACCACGTGCAACAGTGTGGCAACAGAAGACGGCGAAGCAGCCCACCTTCATCCCCTTCCCTTCTTAAACATAATTCTGATTAGATTGCTTACTCGTTGGGATGTGTATTTATTAGCAGAAATCTTCGGTCGACGTTGCTTGCGAAGATACTACAAAGCCTTCGGATTTGTCTCAAACGTACGGGCTCCAGAATTCTTTCCCCTTCACGTCTTTCAATACCCCCTCGTTCCCCTCACCTGCACCTGCTGTTCGAGCGCGGCCCGCGCCTGCGTGGCGGCACCCAGCCGGGCGTTCAGGTCGAGTTGCTCGGCTTCCCGCGCGCGCTGCTCCTCCTGCAGCCGCGCCACGTCCGCGCGCAGCCGCTGCGCTTCGAGTTCGAGGCGAGTGACACTGGCGCGTGAGTCCTGGATACGAAACGAGCTTGGTTGAGAATAAGGACACCTGTGAAACGAGCTTGGTTGAGAGTTGGGATGCCAGTGAATCAGGCTTGGTTAGGAGTGAGGATGCCTGCCGAGCAGCCTGCTAGGCAAAAGCACAGGCTAAATCATCTTGCATGAGACTCCAGGAAGTCGATACTGATGCGGGCAAGGCCTGAATAGTGACCGAAGGTAGGTAGGAGTGACGAACGCGTCTTTGTCAAATCAGCGCTTGTCTAAAGCAATCATGGGAACACTTCGACTTGAGTGAACCGAGCCTGAACCCGGAATCCAAGCACCAATACCTAGTCCTCTGGAACCACGAAACCGGGCACCCAAAACACTTAACCAAACTGCAAAGCTCTAGGGTTCCGAACAGTTCTTGCTCATTTCCCTTACCTCTGGCGTCGGTGCACTACGGTTCTAATTTTGACTTCGGGAGCAATCCAGAAACAAAATAACCAGGAGAAACCAGCACCGCAACCCCACTTCTTTTCAATCACAACTCCTGGTAACCAGTATTCCAAGACTCTAGCACCCCTGCGATCCCCACCTGCAGGTGTTGCTCCCCTTTCGCGACTTTGGCGGCCGTGCAGTTTTAACGATTCAAGATTCCAAAAGCACTACGTCATTACAATAGCAAGACCAGAGCCGGATAATATTACAGAAACCCGATTTCAAGACCACGAACCCTGAAAAGCAGATGCCAATATTTTACCCTCCGCGGGCTCCGCACCTGCAGTTGTTGCTCCACTTCCGCGACTCTGGCGGCCGTGCGTTGCACCCCCTGCCCCCGCGCCGCTAGCGCCTCCATGTCCTTCTTCATCTCCGACAAGCGCTGCGCGGAGGCCCGCTCGGCCGCCTCCGAAGCCGCCAACGAGTCCTGCGCAGTCAGCAGCAGAACGTGAGCTCTATGACTGTGACCCTTTCCTGTCGCCGTGCCCAAGGATCGCCGGACGCAGTCGAAGAGAAAACTGCGTTTCGGAAAAGCGAAGAACGCTAATGACGACGCTCAATCCCACGATCGGCGTTCATATGGACTGTTATAGAGGATTCAAACCTGGCGAGAAAGAAAAACGCCTAACCACTTACAACTTTTGCGGCGTTTTCAACCACGCGACATGCTGCCGTAGACACAACGCAATGTCGGAAATCGCTTTTCAGACCAAGACAGGAAGCAAAAGATAAGAAAGGGCCCCCGTTCAGCAGCCGACAGAAAACCAGCTTCTAAGGTCGTCCTTCGCAAAGAAAGAACCATAGGCCGCTTCCCCGCACCTGTGCGTCCTGCTTCTCCTGCACGAGCCGTGCCTTATCCCCCTCTAGCGCGCGGACCGTCTCCTCGAGCCGCGCAGCGTCGTCGCGCGCCCGCCGCAAGCCGCTCTCCGCGGCCGCGCGTGCGCCCTCCGCCTCCGCCTTTTCCGCCGCCAGTTGCGCTGCCCGCTGCCGCGCTTCGTCGAGCGCTTGCCCGCTAGACCGCTCGCGCGAGGCTAAACTGGTCTCCAGCCGCCGGACGTCGCCCTCTAACCCCTGGAGCACAAAGAAAGAACGCCAAGGAGTTCAGAACTGATGGCGAGTCGCCCCGTGCTGAAGACAACTAGCGTTTGCACAAGTTGTTGCTACCGGCAGGGTGCGAATCTTGCATCCTTGAGCAACTCATGGAGTAGCCAGGTCTGGTTTTAACTCGTAACAGAAACGCCAAAAAGGCGATGGTCGGCAATGTGTGCAAAACTTGCACACGATGTTCATCCAAGATTATTCTGATCAGGCGTACAACCCGTGCTCGGCGCCGGTAAGGCAACCGTCAGAGTCAACCCCCTTCTCCTTTTCAAATATTTTCCCCTTCGTCAAATTTCTGTGAAAGCACTAGGACGCGGGGTGCAGACTGCGGACATCGGAATGCGATTCGGGGAGCGGAGCAAGGAACGCTGACACTGGGAAGATGGATGCAGTGCTGACCTTGAGCTGCGCTGCCAGGCTGGCAACCTCTCCCTCCTTTTCCCGCAGCCGCGCGTTTGCACTTCGCAGCTCGCTCTCCTGCGTCACAAGCACGCAGAATTCAGGGTCCGCTTTGCTGGGAAGTCAAGGGCGAGCTTCGCGCCCCAGGCACAAGCATAAGACGTCCTTCTCGTGAGGCCGCGACAACAAGCTCCCCTCATGACAGGGTGCGATCAAGATAGATCAGGCTTCAGAAAGCGCCGCCTTGAGAGCGCGGGAAACGTACGGACTGGACGATTCCTCGGCAGCTTTTAAAATGGAAAGCCGGCATTCTCCTTGCGCCACACGCAATGAAAGCTTTTTTATTGTTCAAGCGCAGAAGAACTGAGAATATCTGAAAGTCAGGGCGTGCACTTTTGCATCTGATAAATGGTGAACCTTTGCTGGCTCGTGGTACGATAAACGGTGCCACAAGCAAACGAAGGGATGCGTGCGGTTCCAGAAGCGATTAACTGTTTATAGCGTCATGACTGGGCCTCACGACCGCCGTACCTTCCCGGCCAGTGTCTGGTGGTGACCCGTCGCCTGGCGCTCCTCACGCTCGCGCGCCTCCTTGTGCGCGCGCTCCAGAGCCGCTGCAGCTCGGGCCTCCGCCTCGCGGCGCGCGCTCGCCTCAGCATCCCTAGACCAATAACTTTCGTTATCAAGCTAGCCAGCCGAGAAGATAATTCCACGGCGTTCCGCGAAATTGAGCCGCTTAGAAGACAGGAAGACCCAAAAGCCCCCCGGGAGTGGTCCAGTGATGTCAAAAACCCGGGGAAATGACGAGGTCGAAATCTTGTAGAGTAGAAGGGCAGGAGCAGGGACCGTCGGCTGAGAACCCTAGCCGGCGATGACAAAGATAGCGGGCGGCACCACACCAAAGTTATTTCAGGGTAAGATTGCTTGCTGCTCGTATACACGCGATCATGTGCAGGCCTCCTGTCCGGTAACTCTAGGCTCCCCCTGGAACCGCAGCCTTAGACGGAAAAGAGAAAGGTACATGAAACTTAGATTTCCCACCACTGCCTCCTCGCGTCTTCCGCCGTCCCGGCGTTCGCCGCCGCCTCCTTCTCCGCCGCGTCACGTGCTGACGTCACGCTCCGCAGCTGCGCCTCCAGTGCCTTGTATGCATCCGTTGCCGCGGCACGCTCTTGCTCGACCACCCGATGCAGAGGTCCTCGGGCCAAACTGCAATCGGACGAAACAGATTGGTCGTCGGCTGACGCAAGACGTTCAGACCGTCTCAGCCACGTTTAGACCAGTGGCCCGGCCGATCAACATATCAACGTCGTCATCACTCAACGCCTTATGCGAGCTCGAGTGCAACCTACAACAAGCCCTAACAGCAGTTACTTCGTCAATGAACCATCTCACGAACGCATCTTTCCGAACGACCCGTCACAAATACGTCGACGCATTCCTTCCGCTGAAAGGTGCTTCTAGGGCTTTCCTTGCGACTGTCTGCACATTCATCACGAGAGTCGACAGCCGTGAACCGTATGAATGCGCCAGCGTCGTTTTACTTTCCCACCATCGCTCACCTCTCCTGCAAATATGTCACCACCGCTTGCGCCTTCCCCGGCCCCGCCGCCGCCCGGTCGTACTCCTGCAGCGCTGCCGCCAGCGCTGCTACGACCTGCTCGAGCCGTGCCCCCGGCGCGCCCGCGGCCGCGGCAAGGCGCGCGTCGAGTGCGCTTATGGCGCGCGTGCACGCCAGCTCCGCTTCCACCAGAACACGCCCCCGGTACTCCTGGACGGAGGATTTGTTGAGAACATTAGAGTCGGACGAGAGCAAAGGACTTGATCAAAACCAGGTCAAAGGATTTCGCTTAGATGCTTCTCGTTCGTGTGCAGACCAGCTACGCCTCCACCTGGACGCGCCCGGACAAGAGAAAGGGTCCAAAAGATATTAGACTCGGACTTGAAGCAAAGGATTGGCTGTTCACTTGAAGCAAAGAAAGTTTGGCTTCTGGCTGAGGCTTCCAACACCCTCTCACTTCGTCGAAGCGTTTGGTCGCGTGAAGCACGGTTCGTCAAAATTTCGATCGGATTTTCGAATGATATTGTCCGAACCTGTCAGAACGTGTCAACGTTGAATCTTTGCTAATTTTCAACCGGCGATACTGAATCCACCTTGAGGTCTCCTGAATAAAGGTCACCCAGTCTCGTCCAAAAAGTCAGGGTCTGCTCGATTGGATAGTCAAAACTGGAAACGAAGGCTAAACTCAGGCTTCCAAGGCTCATCTCACCTCAAACTGCTTCCCCAGCTCCGCCCTCAGCCTCGTCTCGAACGGTTGCCGCACCTCAGCGCTGCCCACGGCCTCCCTGGAGAATGCACCGAGCGCTGCGTCGACTGCGGCGCTGTGAGCGGCCGCCAGGGGTCCCTCCTCCGGGGGAGTGCTCCGGTCGAAAGAGGTAGAGTATGCGGCGAGCGCGGAGTCGTAGGCGCGCCGGCACTCCCCCTCGGCAACACTCTGCACACGGGGGGCGTCGACAACTTAGATGAAGCGGGATCAGGCAAACGGTGGGGTGCGTGACGGTCGGTGGTTCGAGGTGGCTCCATCCGTTGGGAGCCTTCAAGCGGAGGAGCTCCAACTCCTCAACATACTGCCGAGTATTATGTTCGTGGTTGAATGTGATTGATCCAGAGAATGCTCAAGCCAAACGTTTTACACTTGAAACTCACGTACTCACACAAACTCTTGAATAATCCCCCCAAGCCAAGAAACCACAAATCCTAGAGAGTCAGCCAGTGAGAACATATTTGAGATCCAGAGATGCGTTGTGAACACACCTGCCATGCTGTCGCAATTGTGGGCACAGCCCCCTCGTTAATCGCCCCCACGAACGACTGCGCGAGCGCCGCCAGCATGGGCCCCGTCAGCATGGCGCCCTCCATCTGCTTCGGCCGCGTCTTCTCGAAGATGAGTGACGTCAGCGCCTCCAGACCCGCCTGGAACTCGGGTCGAAGGACGCCCGGGGGAAGGGAGTCGAGGCGCTGCAGCTGCTGCTCGTCGTGCACGGGGCGCACGAGCGTGAAGCAGTCGCGGCGAGGAAAGAGTGCGCGGATGGACTCGCGGATCTGTGGAGAAGAAGAGTGATGCATCAATGGAAGAAGAAAGGTACCGGAATGAAGGGAGTCTGACAAGTTTAGAGTGAGAACAAACGCGAGCAGGTGCCGTGCGTGCAAGAAAGCGCGCAATTGCACGGTTGGATGTAGGACGGGGTGCAAGAGATGGAGTGTTTGGACAGAGAGAAAAAATAGCGGCAGGCACGAGCAGGCGACAGACTGTGATTACATGTTGGCAAGAATTCGAAAGCACAACCTCGCACGAGCGGCCAACGTTCGTTCCTGTATGGCGGCAACTGTATGACTTCAAAGTTGGCACGCTACTCTTGATGAATTGTTCAAACATTCGTCGTCCAATTCAGAGCAACCCCGTCGATAAATGTGTTGGCTTTTTGAAACACCCAGTGCAAGATGTTCTGGGAACATGTTTAGCTTTATTTTGTGCCTTTCAACCTTTCTTTGAGCATCCTGACCAGGAAGCCCTGCACTGATGCTTCACTCTGAGCTGGGCCCATGACCCAAACTTAAGCTAGGCTGGCTAAGTTTGCAATCTCCCCACATCGAACGTGAGCCAAATTCAGCCAGAAGATGGCTAGTGGACCCTCAAAGTTTGTTAAATTTGCCACTCCGAACCCCTGAAAAGGCCCACCTGGTTCTTTGCATGCACAGCCTTGCTGTTCCCTGGCGTCGGCTGCAGCGCACTCTCGAGGTAGTCGCGCGGCGTGATGGCTCGGCCATCTTCCGACAGGTCCAAGTAGAAGTCCCGCAGCAGCCACAGGAAGGAGGGGGAGAAGGGGCCAAGTTCTGCAGGATCGGCGTCCCCTCCTGCGGCCTTGACTCGGATGTGGTGCGTCATCTCCGTGACCAGCGAGAGGCGGTCCAGTGCGGCCTCATCGATACCGCCCATCTGGAAAACAGTCGGCAAGCTCAGTTTACAAATTACGGGGGACGCACTCAAGTTTGAGAATCACCCTTGTGCATAAGAAGCTGCTCCCCAGCTGATTCCCAGTCGGTGCAAAGTTGGACGTGCGAAAAGAGTGAAGCGCCTACACATCGACCTGAACCATTCTGTGTTCCTCGTATCACTACTTCTTCCAATGTGCTTTTTGCGCCCCAATAGTTCAAAATAAGTTCTCTGCCACCACTTCCAGATCAGATTCACCAGAACTCCGTGGTGAGTTCGAGCGTTTGACAAGTGTTTGACACGGCGTCTTGGCAACCACAACGACAGCATTTGAAGCGAAGGAACTGGCATCAGAAACCAAGAATGAAGAGCACATAGGGCATCAGGATGGGCTGCTGCCTGACCTGGTTGTAGACGAACATTGATGAGAGCAGCACCGCCAGGCTGAAGATCTGCACGCTGTATGTCCCCGTCTGGTCATATGCATCAATGCCCTCGCTGTCCAGCAGAACAAGGTGGTACGTGCTCCCGTCCGCCGCAGTGCGTGCCACCGGCTGGCTCCACATCCACAGGCCCTTGGTGCATGGCCGGTGCGTAGGAGCAACGGCAAAGCCCGACGTGCGGCCCAGCAACTGGGGGGAACGGCGAAGAAGGAGGTCTGTTTTACTATACCACTGCAATAGCTCTCCTCAGAGTGGATTATCGATGACATCTCAATGGGTGCTGCACCTTGTGCCCCACGATCTGAAGAAACGCCTCCGATCGGAATAATCCTCATCATGACAACCGCCACCATTTGCCAAAGAGTAGGAAGCTTTGCCAAATCCGTTTCAGCAAGCGGAGAACACAGAACGGTTGCGAGATAAAGCTTGTCACGAGGCAAAGCGTGTCTATTCGCTCAGGTGGGCGCCAACTTGGCACCAGCATGATTCCAAGTATCATCTATTCTTCACCTCACCTGATTGAGGATGAATGATTTCCCCTGCCTCGCCCGCCCACAGACCGCCACCACTCCCACCGGGCCCTTCACCGCTTGCAGCGCTCTGATGGCAGCAGGCTCCACCACGAACTTCCCGCTGTCGTCACAGTACAGCAGGCGCAGAGGCTGTGCGACAGCAGGGGTTTGCGACGCCGGAGGCTGCTTGGCCTGCTTGCCTGGTGGCCGGTTGGGTGTCCCGGGCATCTTGCTAGGGGTGGACTGTTGCCCCCCGCGCCCCCAGCCAAACATGGGCTTGGGTCGGGGGTGTCCCTGCGGAGGTGATGGACAATGTTAGAGAAGAGTGCGAGTTGTGAAAGGGTTGAAGTGGAAGAAGAAGATATTGATGCTGTTGATCTTGGCAATGCTTGTTGAAGAAAAGAGTCAGAGAGCAAGAAGCTGCAGTATGAAATAGGTGCACTAGCGACAGCGTCTGTTTGTGCTTTGGGCCATGGCTTTGACTATTGGACCACCACGCGTCCGAGCACCAAGCAAAGACTGATGTAACACATGATTGCAACAAGATCTCTTTGAAAACATCAGAGAATCATTCACTGCATGGGAAGTTATGCAAACATGTTTGTTCTCGTAAATTTCTCCAATGTCCACTTAGTAGCACACACTTATAAAAAAAGGTGTGGGAAAGGCGCGCCATCAACAATGGTCCGTCAAATCAGTGTCTCTTCTTCACCAAAACCACGTACCTTGTCTGTTGGCAACACGAGAAAAGCCAAAGGCTCTCCGTCGAGTGCGGTGGCCACTGGACCGAGCGACCTTGAAGCAATCACACGCAGCTTTCTGTCAAGGGCCACCTTGCTTTGCAGAAACAAGACGGGTCACCGCAGAACCTTTGCAACAAGCTCAGCCCGAGCTGTGAAGAAGGACTAGCAACTAAAGCAGCGCTTCATCTCAGTGCTCCCCGAATGTTCTGACAACCATGTTGACCGCATGCATGCAGTGATGAAGGGGTCCCTTGAGGCTCGAGTCGTGACGGGTTGCGATCGCCGATATACCAGCGGAGAGATGAGCTCAAGCCTAAGGAGAAGTTTGAATCAAAAGCGCGGGCGAAGTTGCGAGTGCCCGGTAAGGTCGTTAAAATTTAACCCATCTCCAAAGAGTTGCATCGTTTCCCCGCCCGCTCCGCAGAGTCTCTTGTCAAACCAGTCGAAACTCGCAGTTTGAGTAATACTAGACCCGATATCCAGGTCCCGGGCGGTCTACTTCCAGGCTTCAAACTTCAGAGTTCACTGCCTTCTTCCTTCCTTCAACTTGCACCACGCCCGGGCAGAGAGTACTGCTTTGGACCTATCGTCAAACTCGATTATATATTGCCATCTGGTTTGGTCGTCCTTTCACATCCATAAGGGCTTAGCTTCAAACTGCTGGAAAATTTGAAGCGAGGAATTCCAAATAGACCTAGGTCCTATAGGTACCGCCGAGGTCCTGCCGGGTCTGCCGTACGATTTACGCGGGGCGAAATCAGGTACCTAGATACCGTCCCAGGGTACCTCAATTCAGGGTTTCGGCAATAATATTCATAATATCGCCCTGTTCTTGCCCGGGCGAGTTGGGGGCCTGTTATGCATAAGGGGTCCACCCTGTCATCCGGTCGTGCCCGGGAGTAATCGGGGACAGCCCCGCCCGGAGGCCTCAGTGGTACGTACTGGGATTGCCGTCGAAGGTGGCCGGTCCCGACTTGCAGTTACCAGAGGACGTTCCCGGTCCGATACTCTTTAGATGTCCCGGCGTGTCAAAGTCTAGCGCAATTCAGACCTCCTGCTCGTAGAGGCGCTAGCTAGCTAATGGAGAAGCCTCAACTTAACCGTCGGCCTGACTGAATCTGGTCAATGGATGTCAAAGGGGTGCGCTGCTGTGATTGGCTCGGTTCACGTGCCCCGGTCCAGATTCGTGGATCAAAGCACGCGTACGGCTGCATGTCGGTGCTTGGCGAGGAGCGATCCCCTTGCGCGCCCTCCGACCCCTTCCCAACCAATTCTCTGCCGACAAATTCAACTCTGCTCCGAGTCCTAGGATACTCTGCACTGACTGCAGCTTCCGCTCTTGAATCTTCACTCAAGTGGTGGACACGCATAAGCGCGAGCAGAAGCCTGAGAAGGAGAGCATACCAATTTGTATCAACCCTATAAGGCGTCATGGCTCTATGTGGACGATTGGAGACCTCTTCTGTGGGCAATGAGTCACATCTGCTGTCAAAGTCAGGTGCAAGTGCTTTGCGAGACTCTTTGCAACGTGCTCAATGTAGATGGGCATGGTCACCGGTACGACGCCACAGAGTGGAAAGTCTGTTCTGCTTGCGTCAGATGTACACCACCGATCATCGGGCAAATTCTGCACATCTGGCTCCCCTAAGCAATCCAGAGATTGCGTGGCCCCAGAAACCCTCTACAACCAACGTCAACTTTTCCTATGAGTTGGGGACCAAAATGTGGCCTGTTGCAGGCAAACGCAGTAAGCCAAGTCAGCATCAGGTGGTGGCATTTGCTGCCAGCACCTCTGGGAGAGGCTTCGACGCTCCACTTAGTGATAGGGTCAACCCAACAAAGGAGGCACGAACTGCAAAGGAATACTTCAAGGTGCGCTTTTTTCAAAAGTGGCATTACATTGGCAGTACGCTCTATGGATGGTTCTATGGAAGCTTTTCAAGGGCTTTTGTTGAGTGCTGTGATGAACTGAGCCCTTGGTGCAAAGTGTTGAGATGGGCGACAGATCGTTCGCGTGGTTGGATTAATTGGCTGAGTGTCTGCCACTTTGACCGAAAGGGGAATAGAATGCTTCTCAGATATACATTTTGAGACTTGCGAACGTGACAATATGGCGGTCAGATACGACTGAGACCTTCAACAACAGGGCAGAAAAGCTGCTAGAATTGTGCTGAAGGCCCATGAACCTCACCATGAGATACTCTGCAGATGCTTGGAGACACCGTTGGAAAGATGTTGAAGGGCGTCCCTGTGTACCTCGTTGGTGACGATGGCGATGGCAACGCTGCGGTGGCGGAGGAAGTGGCCCCCGTCCTGGGGTAAGGTTGTTGCCAGGTCCTGAGCTTCTTTGTTGTTTCAGTACACCACCTAGCATCGCACGTCTGGCGTTAGTTAGCGAGGTCCTACTTGCTCCACTAAACAATCATGCTTTCCACATCAATTCTGAGCAAAGGAATTCTTTCTTTAGAGACTTTTGAAAGCTTCATCGCCAAGGATTCTCCTGAGGTTTAAAGTGTCCATCTGCTAAGCCTCATCCTGAAACATGTGCTTTGGCTAGATCAATTTTTCTGCCGCCCGGAAGTGTGCGCCTATGGCAGCTCATAAAGCACTTCAGATGGACAGCTCTTATCTACAGAGTTTGTTTCCTCTTGACCTCATCTGGATACCTCAGGCCTGAATACATCGTCATTGAAACACCTTCCTTTTCCAAACACACAAGTGGTCAACTATGTAGGCTTGGTTAGCAGCAATCGTATTCTCCGTTCCGCTGTCCTTGTTTCAGCAACAAGTCTCTCCTCTGACAGATACGTACCTTTCCAGAGCGCCAAGCTGATCCAGCAGACCACCGGAAAGGGCCTGGCATCCATTGCGGCTGAAGAAGGGCTGGAGGGCGTTGCAGAAGCGGAGGCGTCAATAGTGCGGGAGCTGAGCACGTAAGTGATTCAGGGCAAGAAGCTTTTCGAGAGTCTCAAGTGGGTTTTAACACGCGTGCTCTTCAATTTCACTTGCTAAGAAAACTTGCACCCCAGTACCCTGAAGTGTCCAGAATGGAAAATGGACGTATGCATTTGAGAAGCGTGGAGGTTTCTCCAAGCCTCTGAACCGAACAAAAGTGGGTGACGATACTCCGGCGAAGAAGCGGTGACACTGGCCTTTTGCTTTTCTCGGGGGGCTGCCTCGTCCAAATTTAGCCGTACTCGCATGCTAAATATATTTCAGAGTTTTGTAATGTAGACGCCAGCTCTTGTTTGATCCCAGTTTGAGGCCGGTTAACGCAGTAGGAAGCTCACATCCATGCTTGAACGGCTGGAATTACGGGAATTACATCTGACGGGACACAATCGAAGTGAAGACCACGAGGGGCACAGCATCAATCGGTTCCGCTGATGAATATGGTTGGCTTTCCCTTGAACCGAAGTCGTATGACGTAGGGTATCTGGAGTCGTTGTCGAGTGGTGGGGGACCTGTTACTACACTTCCCCTGCAGGTTCTGAGCCTTTTACACTTGGTTACTGCTTTGCCGCAGGCGATTTGTTTTACGCCGTCTTGTATATTGCCCGGACATTTACTCTGTCTGTTTGAGCTTTCTGCTTTTCAAGGCTTTCTTCCAGGTCAGCCCTTATTCGCAGCAAGGCCCTGGGTCATACCTCTCGGCCATACTTCGGTAAGGCACACCCGACAGCGAAGGGGTGTCAATTTCAAAGAACCTCCCATTGCCTAAGTCGGATTAGGAATGGGCCTTTTCTTCTCCAAAGGCCGCCAGCTTCAAACGGCAATCTCATATCATAAACTTCCCTTACTCAGAGGTGAGCAACGCATTAACCGTTGGCAATTTTTCCCGTCAGGTTCGTGCGCTGTGCAGTCGGAACAATCGGCGGCGGCCAGGGCGCCGCAGCAGATCCCGCGCGGTGGAACCACTTGCATGGAGGGGTCAGTGTCTGGCTGGATTGTAGTTCTTCAGGTACGAACAAATCATCACCGATTGTGGAGCTGCCGCGCTGCCGTTTTGCAGTTACAAACGGGGACCTGCCGGGCTTTGATACTTCCCCCTTCTTCTCCGTGCGCTCTATGCGTCATCGCACGAAATGAACGACGATTCTGCTGGTCGTTATTTCTCTCCAACTTTGTCGCTCGGGGCACCAAAAGGACGTGTTTGATGTTTGACTGAACGGTGACTGTTGGAGCACCTTTTGGTATAGGATTGAACCTGGACCGTACCAAAGCTTGGGTCCAGGACGTATGAAAGGTACATGAGACCGCTCAAACTCATTAGGGGCCGCAATGGCATCGAAAACGAGCTTTGGCAGCTGTCGTACCCGTTGTTAGTTCCAGGGAGGCCTTGCCTGGATTACCATAAGAAGGAGAAAAGCCCATACTTTTCACTGTGGACCGACAGACCGTTAGCTGTCTCCAAGTAGCTCAACGCGAAGGTCAAGTTGAACATGTTCACTGCCTTTGCCAAAGCGGGCTTCTGGTCTCTGGTCTTTTCTTTCTGGTCTTCAAAGCCAAATTGTCTTGCACTTTATCTCCCATGCGCTTCGGTGGTCAGACTCCTTTTATTGTATCATCAAAGTGGCATACGGCACATTCAGTGTTGGTTTCTAACGTCTGTGTCCTTTTTGCTCGTTGCAACTTGGCCGTAAATACTGCCGCAAGCCCTTGCCTGCGAAGAGTCCACGATGTCGAGCAGATATGCCTCAAGCACTCCCGGATCGAAGTGCCACGTCAGCAGCCAATCACAGTGTCGATACCTTAGGATTTTCGAAGGTCGTTGAGGCCAGCCGCCGATCAGCATGGAGGCCCTTTCTCGTCCTGAATGATCTTTCTGTTTCGCCTTCTGTAAATTCCCGATTGTGGGCGAAACCGTTGTGCAGGTTCTAAAAGGGACGACTCCTTGAAAGGCCCGCAGCACCTCGGCTACACGAAGTGCGACATCGTTGTACGATTCAGCCTACCAGAGGGCGCCACGTGGCAGCCTACGGTCACGCGGGCCGTGTCGGAAGGCGTGCTTGAAGGGATCAAAAAGCTGCTAACAGAGAACGAGAATTATGCAGGTAAAATTGCCTCCCCTCGCTCTCGTTTTGGATTACTCAGGCGGCTTTGCGTGGCTTGCTGATGTTACTGTCATGGGGGGTTCATATGGGACCTCGGGCCAGGCTCTGACAGGATATTGGGTTGTCAAGCGAGGGTCGTTTCCGGCACTCCGATATCAGAGTGGGCGTTTTCGAGCTGGATCGCCCAGACGCTTCGAGCCGGCAGAGATTTCCCATAACTCGCACGTTTACCATTATTGCAGCCACGTTGCACAGCTACTATATTCTCTTCATAGAAATCTAGATGATGCAGTGCGCTTGGCGGCCACTTGTTGCGCTGAAGCCGACAATGAGTCTTGTGATGACAGATCCTCCCATCTTGCAGGAAAGAAGAGCTTGTATATACGTTCGGGCTGCCGGGGTGACTGGCCGGATCTAGCAGAGCCTGGGGCAGAGGTAACGCCGCAATCAGTTTCGCAAAACAGCGGTCCGGTAAAGGAGGTTTTGTTAGGTCAGCAAAATGCATAGGCGACAAGGCTCAAAAGGGACGGAACGTGTTACACTCTCCTCGGTCGGCTTTCTCTAATCAGCATACGGGTTAATATTGTGTGCTGCAATCCTATGTCACAAATCAGCTTCGATGCTGAGTTGCACGATTAAAACAGCCGGTATCATATCAGAGTGCCACATACTCTCCAACTGATGCATTTGATATCAGTGTGTGGGGGGCGTCTTTGGGCCTATGGGTTTGTGGGTCTTTTTAGGATCTGCATCTATTCTTATAGCCGCTGTGTCTCTTTCGTCTGTGACCGCACTGCGGCGGTCCGCTGCAACATCATATGCACTGGCAGTCATGGTGATGCAGCCTTGTGTATAGTACGTATGCCACCATGATGCGCGGCAGCCGACTAATGTTTATATGTAATCTAGATGTAGGGTCAAACGTTATAACTCGTTTGTCCAAGTTTGGCATATACCCGCGGCGTATACGTTCAACTTGAGTATCAAAAGGCCCGGCGGCATACTAATATGGAACTTATGCTGCGCAAATGCATTTCTGCCGCCGGTGAGTCCGCGGGGCGACGCATCATGAACTCATCTAGTTTCGGACTTCGGCCGGAATTATTGGAGTGCCAACCATTTTCATACTATTGAATGCACTACGTATGCGTTAATTAAAACGCGAATTTGACTTCACATGAATCATTGATCAGAGCCGATATATATTTGCCCGATCCTTTCAAGTTAAGGCAATCAATCATGTATGATAGCATACAAGCGCGGCACAGTAATTTATCGGTCCTAAATTCTCCGCTAATGGCCGGGTCGACTCGGCCGCCGATCCTGGCAGTTCAATGACGGACTCGATCAGGCCAGATTTTGCGAGCAACGGTATACTTTGAATGCGCGGCGCCTGCATGTTGATGCATGCAGTCGTATATATAACAACCTATACATTTTGTGCAATCAGGCTGCAGTCGCGTACACGCTTTTTCGGAACGATCTTAAGCTTTGAGTTCCATCAATCAGCCTAGGTAATATGTCTCAAAGGACGAGACTTGTAAACCCTGCTTGGGCCTCTTCGCAATCTGTTAACATCGGTGAAACGAAATCTTGTTTCACCGGCTACATTTATTGAGCTGTCGGCAGTTCTCCTATACATTTCGTTCCGTATACTGTACGCGCGTTTATCGATCAGGGTTGAGACGCATTCGGCTTGTTCAATGGTAGCGTCATAACTGGAACCGTCGTCATTGGCACGTGCGTCTGTTCTGGGAGTGGCCTGTCTCCGTGACGTTGTGTGTGTCACTGGTTGTGACGTTGTGTGCGTGGCCCGTCTCGGTGACGTTATGTGATGTACCGTTGTGAGCCGGGCCGCTTTTCAGAGGATGCAGATAGGTAAGGGTGACGTTTCCGTCAATAGCCTGCAGGGGGAGAGACTTCGTGAATCAATCTCTCGGTAACGGACTTTTTGAGGCTACCCAGAATCGACGGCCTCGTGAACGTCAACTCGAAAAGTCAAAGCAAGAATCTGAACAGATGACATCGAAAGCATGCAAAATTTATTGAGAGCCGGAATCCCCCGCTTTTGTCCTCCTTGCGAAAGTCTTCTCCTTCGACAGTGTCTCCTAAACCAATGACAAGGAAAGTTTCACTTGCAGAACAGAATGCGAAGCGCATTGAAGGAGCATCCTCAGCTGATTTCAGTTGCTTAGAATCAAGTTGTGGGCACTCGCAGCTATATGGTGTCTTGACCCCGGCTTTTTTATTCTTGACTAATACACGAGTTCGGCGGTCAACTGGATCGCTCCCCTGATTCAAGGTTCTTGTATAGGCGGAAACCAATCAGTTTCAGCATCAGTTTGATGCACCTCTGACTGAAAATAGTACTGTTTTGACCTCCTATTCGTTCATGTCGAACGGTTAGTGAAGTTCTAGTTGCTTTGGAACGGGATAATAAAAGGGGCGTGACTTGCCTTGAAGACCTCTGCCTCGTAGGCGCGCTTGAAGTGCCTTGCTGCTACTGTCAATCGGAGCACGTAGTTGATTCCAGCTACGACTTGTGTCTTGATGAAGAGAATGTGAAACCTGAGGTCGTGGCCAGTGTGATTGAAGCCAGTATGGTTCTGGATTGCAGGACAAAAGAGTCAGTTAGGAAAGACACAATGTCTTCTGCGTGCCCATGTGTGGTAATTACGTACATTAGTCTGAGCAGATTTTGTCTCCGGCATGTCAACGAGCACAAGCCACGTCAGCCACATCAGCTGTCACCGCTTAAATTCTTTGTTTAAATCTAAACTTGAGAAGCTTTTCAGATGGGTTCCTTTATCTGAATTGAATATTGCGACGTTTCGGTCCTAGCATCCATAAATGAGGGATCCGAAGGCCAAAAAGAACGGGTTGAGAAGAAACTGTAAACCCATGCAAGGCAGGCCTATGGGAAGTGTCGACGGTCACAAGGATCATACAGCGCAGGTCCAAGAATGACCTTTGGAAAGCTGCTCCAACTGATTCAAAGAAGGTACTACTGTATATTCAAAAGGGTTAACGGAGTGTCCAACCACCTGCAACCCACGACATTGCTTCATCATTTCGCCTTGAACAGCTTAAGAGCACAAGTGCTCCTAGCTGTCCCAAACGCCTAACACGTACTTGGCACGATGACAGGGCCTGCTCGCATGGTTTCCGAGCTTCAAGCTACCCCAAAGGGCGCTGTGTCGTTCAGCTGTGCTTACCGTCTTCAGTGCAATGGCGTCCAGCGTGAAGTTGACAATCTGCTGCACTTGGGGGTTCTCATATTCGGATCTATTGAGAGGCGCAAATCCTCCTGGTAGGAAGGTCACAGCTGGAGCCGTCCGAGTCCTGTTCAGCTTGAGGCTCCTAGCAAACTTGGCGTCGCCCTGGGGTAAGCTGGAAAAGGCGAGAACGACAGTGAAGGCCGCAAGAGCGGCGCTCATCCTGACTTGCGCCACAGATGGAGGCTGCAGCTGTGCTCATAGTTCGAGGGACGTGGCGTTCAATATGTAGTCGCTCAAAGAAGCAGTCAAGCAGCATGTCCCGCTAAGAAGCACCGGCACTGACTAGCATGCAAAGTGCTTTGGGGGCTCCGATCAGCTGGTTCTTATGCGTATGCCTGGCAGCTGCTCTGGCCAGCTTGTGACCGCTGGTTTCAGCGTTGATACAGTGCAACTGCAGCTTTGTCGATTAGGTCAAGGTGTTGCACAAAGACATATGCCCCCCATATGCCTATTGCTCATTGATCATTGACAAGCACCGTGAGTACTCTTCGGAGGTCTCAGGGATGTCAGAATCATGTCCAAACCCCACTCCCAAAGGAGCTTGCCTTACTTCGTTGGTCCTTTATTTTTGTAGCAAGCCATGGACGAAGGTTTGGAACTGCCATTTGTCAAGGTCTGGCAGGCTCATTGCAGTGGCCGGATACAGTAGCATCGTTACATCGTTGTACTCTTGGCAGCAAGTTAAAATTGCAGATCACGTACGAGATCACGCCCTAATGCAGCCTGGTGTCTAACTTAAGCAAGCCTTTCAATCCAGAAGTAGGTCGGAATTTCGTCCGTGTCCTTACTGAGTCTAGTACAAGGTTGGACTTCTGTATGGAAGTCACTGCAGGTGTGAATGTGTGAATGTGTCACTGTTCAAGACGTTGGATGCTCACGAGGAGCTGTCGGATACGCTCCTCAACTCAATTACAGTGCAGTACGACGAAAGCGAAGGCAGTGGGGGCACTGGCAGAGGGCAGCGCTAGCGAAGCCTTAACAATATAAGTACTGTACAACCTACCTCGCTAGCTGGATGGAGCGAGTCCGGTTGCGCACTGCAGGAACGGGAACTTCGGCCGGCAACCACCCCTGCCACCGTAGGAACCAGATCCGTCCGCTCTTCTATGGAATGATGCACGCCGTTCGTGGGAGCATGTGTTTATAAGTGGCGCGCGCGGAGAATCAAAGTGGCTTGCAATGGTGGATCCAGACTCCCGAGGCCCAGGGCCAGAGGTAGCTTCAATGGACACTCCGGCCAATCAGAAGGAGGTACATACATTATTGTGCCACTCCGGCCTCCTCCACAACGACTATTCGAAGGTTTGAAATCAAGCCGCGACAGATGTGCCAGACTTAAGTAGAGAATGAACCCTGCTGCAAGAGACTTGCCCTTCAATAATTCAAGGTGTGCGACACGGTCAGCTGTAGAGGCTGCAATCTACTGGCCAGCTGGGGGGCGGGACTTATGTATGGGTCTCGGGACCCGGGTCTTGTGCTTCTCAGCATTCCCTTTTCTGCTGACCCGCCGTGCAACGTAACAGGTGCAACTTTTAAAACCTTTTGACCTGAAGCAACAGTCTGCAGCTCCCCTGCAGCTTGGGAGCATTGCTAACTTGTTCCTTCGGGAGTTGCGTTAGGAATGAGCATCAGACATCCTTGATCGTCTTCCACGTAGCTGGCAGCCTCTTCATTAATCATGAATGCAAGGCAGATGTCTCCCAAAATGGTGAAGCAGCAATTGAGGCCAGAGTCTTGCAGCTCAGGTGAAGAGTACAATTCTTGTACGACTCCTAGCAGGCCCAATCAGAGCGCTGCGCAGCAAATGCGACAAGTGCACCGGCTGCCTGCACATTGCAGTGCCTCTGAGCTTTCTGCAGCTCTGCACTCTGGGGAGCCTTTCGTAATCTCCCTTCAGCAGGAAGACGTCCCAGATCAGGAGCTCGCTGCACTGAAGCAGCGGTTAGCTGGAAAGACTGTGCATGGATGGCAGGGGGACAAATCGATCGAGCTCAGTATTGACGACGTCGTGGATCTGTGGCTGGAAGACCGGCTTCCATGCAACATTGTTGATAGCTACGTGAAGGTGAGGCAATAGAACTACTTGCAAAGCCACCAGGTTTCATGTGTTCCAGTACCTTGTGAGCATCTGCGGCTGTAAAGATTGATCTCTTTCAATCCGGAGCAGGGGTTGTTGAGATCAGTGCTGGTGATAAGAAACTCTCCACGCTTAAGCAAGTTCTGCTTGATGCTTCTTACCGACTTGGCGGGCTGTGTTGGAGCTTCGTGCATGTGAATGATTATGGTCTCCTGTGTTACAAAATTCTTTGAGGAACATCTTGCAGGATTTACTAGACTTAATGTAGTGTGCAGCCGCACGTAGGTATGTCACATTGTATCCAAGCCCGTCTCCGCTTCCCAGCCTGTTGCATTCAACAGCGTATTTCAGCACCCTCCAAGCATAGAGCTTGCCTGGGTGCTCTGAACGGCAGTGATTTTGAACAGACTTCGTTCTTTCTAAAGCCGGACTTCAAAGCGCAAATATCTTTGCTACTAGCTGATTCCAGCTTTTGGGTCTCTTTGACGGTCATCTAGAAGCCTGGACTGGACATTTGTTTCTGTCCCATCTACCATTTGAGCATTACATCTGATTGAGTCAATCTTGAAACGTAATGCTTTTGCGCACGTTTTGGAGTTAGGTTGAACATTGCAGATTCCGCGAGCCTGGCGCCTATCTCTGCAAACTACAACGTGAGAGTGCCGCATGCCTATCTCTGCTCAATCAGTAACATTGACGTCACCATCCTTTGTCAACAGCTTTGCTATTGGACGAAGATAGCCAGGGGACTCATCAGGGACCCAGGCTATGAACCAACCTTGCACCTGGACTTAGATGAGGATTCCTTTGTTGTTGTATACGTAAAGCACCACCACAACTTCGCCACTGGACTTCAATGGGCAGTGGATCTGATTCCCAAAGCATTTTCCAGAGGCACCTGAGCAGGGCCGTTCAGAATATCAGAAGGCCCACTCGGCAGAATGTCTGACAACTTATTTCTTTCCAGGGAGTCTTCTCCGTTCCCGACTTTCTTGCAGAAACCAACCTTCTCTCCAAGCACCCGGACACTGAAGAGAGGACCGTCTCGCTTTACCTGAGCTCCTCGAACGCGTACACCCCCTTTCATGTCGACGCCTACGGTTTCGCCGGCTGGGCCTTTCTCTTCCGGGGGTCCAAACGATGGGAGTTTGTTCATCCTCAGCACTACACAGAGTTTCACGATGCTGCTCTTGGGGGTCCCAGGGACACACCAGGAAATGAGTTGCCAGCAGAAGTCGAACTGTGGAGAACAACAGCGGGCGAGAGAGACGTGGTTTACATTCCCCCCGGATGGCTCCACAGGTAAGCTGACAGGTTTTCGAAAGATTTGCACAAGATTTGAACAAGGTGTCTATCCTTGCGAATATCAAATTGTTTGCATTCCAGCAAGCTTGCTCGCGAGCTTCAAGTAATCGACTGGCTGGGGTTATCGGACATCACTCTCAAAACATTGTGAACTCGCCGCTCCTTAGTCTCCCGATTTGCAATTGTCTCGTCCAGTCTTCTAGGACATGGAGATATTTCAAGACCTCTTCTCAAACGGTCTTTAAATCAGCACTCCTTTTGACAGCTTAAATGTGTCGGCCACCTTTTTTGAGGCTCTTATCTTGGTGATGATTACCACCTCATGTAATTTTACTAATCATGTGCAGAGTTTGGACAGACCAGCCAAGCTTCGGTTTCGGAGGAGCATGTGCGATGCCGTGGGAGGTGGAACAGGTTTTGCAGCACTGGCGGCAAGAAAAGGAATTGGGAATTGCTCTAGAAAAAGATCTGGACGAAATCTTTAGAACAATCAGTGCGGTCACTATTTCAAAACGAACAGCACCGTGATCTACAGCCGTTTCTTGTACTCCCAATATGACGTGGTCTATTGGACTAGTCACCCAGCTGCATCATCTCATTTCGAATGCTCTGAATCATAAAAGCTTCCTGTAACAGCCAATCAAGCGAACATTTCGAGAAGTCAGCGTTTATGATGCACTATCAAACAACCGAGCTCGTGACCTAGTACGGCCAAAGCTCACGTATACTCTCAAATGCTGCAAAAGTTGAAATGTCGTTAATCGAGATTCTGAGAGTTTGACAAGGTGCGTGCACACGCTTCTTAATTTCCGCGCCTTGGCTCACAGCCGGACCTCATATATTCTGTTATGTTCGACGGAGACCGCCCAATCTGACAGCGAAGCATGATAACAAACTTAATTGTGTATTAAGGTTGCGCGTCGACCGAAAACCTCCGAGGTCATCCCAGGTTTCTGAGCCAATCAGAGGCCTGCTTTTCATAAATATGGGTTTGTAAGAGGTTTGCAACACTGAGGTGATTGTGTCGCCTATAAGTATCAAATGAGCATCTTTTCTGCTCAAAGAGGCCTTGCTGGCAATTGCCACCACTCATGGCCTTTGCCCATGTGCTTTGGATGGAGCATTTTGGTGCACAATTGGGTGATATAGGGCGCATAGATGTGGAGGGTTTGCTGCAAACCACTGCCGAAACCAGGGTTTCCTGAACCACGTGGTCTGACAACATCATAGTGGGGGGTGGTAGATTTTCGGTCGACGCGCAACCTAAATCTTGAAAGGCTGAAGTCTACATTTCGAAGTTGACAATCGGACAGCTAGAAAATCCACCTTGATAAGTGAATTGGCGTGTTCGTCACGATGATGCAAAGCGGATCATTACACGCCTTATATGCAAGCGGATCGCGCACACCCGGCTCACTTAATTTATAATCGTAGAGGCGGGCGCTTGAAGTTTGCTAGCTGTATCATGACTGAGGCCCAACGGATATGCATGGGCAATTTCGTACAGAGTCGCTAGCTTATTCTTCCCATGATGCATGTGACCGAGACGCGGTCACAGTTGAAAATTTAAAAGGACGACCATTCGATCGAGTCGATTTTCCTTTACGCATTGGGCACGCGCGTGAAGCTTCTGCCACCGCGCCTAGATCGAATGGTCGTCTGGATCCAAGCTTGTTCTGATCAGATCTCGCGCCTGCAAATATTAAGCGCCCAAGCACGTACATGCAGTGGCACCATGCATGTGGGAGTTCTTAGTATTACCACTCGATCAGCCGTTAATTAGCTAGATACGTCATCGTGATTATTGAATGAACGCACGCGCCGAGCCGCGCTGGCCACTGCAGCGGCGCGCGGCTGCAAGCTCCAAAAGGTTTACGGAGTTACCTATATGACGATGTGTAAAGCTCTGGCAAGTGTTACTGTACTCGGCGACTCCCATTTTGTAAAGCTCCGAGTCCCGGACATCTGCATGACTGGGCAAATATGAACACAATGGAAATTTGGCACAAGGAAAAGGCGATCCGGCCGTTTAAGAATACTTCAAATCCACGAGTTCTGCATGAACACGGGATCAAACACGGTATCAAGCATTGCCTTCGCTATGGCCCCTACTTCGAACGTTCTTCTTTTAGTCCGTCTTGCAAAGCAGTGACCTCGGCTAGCTGGTCATTCGTCAATCTTTCCCACTTGATTTCTTCGATAAAGCCTTCTTTTAGTTTCTCAACCATTGCGCTTCGGATGAATTTGACCTTGAGATTGCTCCCGTGCATTCCTCTGAGCCAACTAAGCCACGACCTTGCATTCTCTTTGGTCACCACCGCAAAGGTATCTATGTCGGAGCACAGTTGCGGCACATCGCATGCATCCGCCAGCTTGAGAAGCTCCTGCAAGATGCAAGGTGAAGATGGACGTTGGTTCAGGTTCGAGAGCACCTATTCTCTACTCCGACAAGAGGAGCACTCGGATCATGCCAACATGCAGTTTGATGTCGGCCCAAATCACGCGCGCTCACCATCAGACATTTTCTCTTAAAGTCAATTAAAGAACGGTGTGACTGTAAGTATGCTCCCAACAGAGCCACCGATTGAGCTTGCAAGTGACCACAGCGCTTTGGTCCGGACAACTACTTGTAAACAATGGTCCTCAAATTTGCGTTTTCGTGCAAAGAAAGACGCAAACCAACGTCGCTAGTTATTTCGATCATGCTTTGCCCCAGCTTTTTGCGCCTCACCTGTAATCTGGCGGCCCTGGTTGGGGTTATGCGGTACAAAGGACGGCGGTCTCCGTAGACGTAGTACAAGAAGGCCTCCAAAGCGGACTTGCCAGCAGGGCATGGCACATCTACTTTCAGCTTGTGGCCAGGGCCTCGAGGTTGCCCCTCCCAAACTTGCTTCAATCTAGTCGAGAAGTAGGGCACGCTCAACAGCGCTGCGGAATGAGCAGCCACTGTTGCGCCATCCTGGAAGTTGGAAAAGAAACTGATTGAAGACTCTTAAAGAACAGGCCTGAATTTGAGGCGACTTCGTGACTTGACGAAGCCTGACGAAGGTGCTTTGAAGTATGGCATGCACTTCACTATAAGCATCACGACGTGCATGACTTACAGGTAGTGCAGTCAACAAAATGATCAGCTGTGAGGTTTTGTCCAATCATCCTATGGGGCCTCTATGGATTGATACTTGCACAGAAGAAACCTGCTCCTCAACATCGTTCTTATTTGGCCCCCTCACTTGTAGATTCCTGAGATGAACTTACTTGTATCGTACTTTTGTGTGTGCTACTCTCAAAAGCAGATGGTGTTTCTACGGTTCATCTTTCGATGCCACTCAGCTAGCTTGGTTGAAAACGTATCCATGCAGTGGCTCCTTAAGTTGCAAACGAAACTGCTTACGCATGTAACAGGCCTCGTACCTCATGGCAACAAGCGGATTGCAGAAGGAGATTGCAAATCCTCACTAACCTGTGTAACAAAGTAGACGTCCCCACTTGCTTCTGCTTCGCCAAGCAGCGCAGACTGTGGTTTCAACTCTTTTGAGCGTTTGAATGCATTCCACCATCTTTCCGTAAAGATCCTTTTCATGCTTACGGTCACAGTCATCTTAGATGCTAATTGAGAGGAGGAGCGGTCTGGCTGGTCATCATCAGAAGTACACAGATATTCAGCGTCACGGTCCTCTTCGGAGTCTGAGTCTTCGCTCTCTTCTTCTGACCCGTCCGAGTCTTCCTGAGTGTTGGCGTTAGGTCTGACTTCGATACTAGTGACCTTGCAATGGAAGTCCGGGCCACCATCGTCTGAGACGATTCTTTCGTCCACAGTTGCACCAACATCACGCCACCATCCTGGCATCAAGAGATGCAGCACATCTGTTTAGCTATGCATAAACGGTCAGCATCGGTAGCTTCACCTTTCAAGCGCCAAACAAGACATGGAGGACCACAAACTGCTGCCCGCGATCTGCATCCAAAGAGTAGCCAATCCACTTGATCGTTTTTTTTGTGTGCTTGCAGTACATTGCCCTCAAGTTGATGTGCTTGCAGCAAACAATGCTTCAAGTTCTCGCAAAAGAAAAGGGTCAGGTTACAAACCTGGGTGAACGGGCAAATCTCCAGGGCGCCCAGCTTTTTCCCGCACCTCGTTCCCAGTAGTATAAGCGTAACCACATGGAGCTGCTGAGCACCCTGGAGTACCTCTTGGGACATCCAGCTCATATTCGTTGTTCAATGGGCCATCAGGTGAGGGTTTCTCAAGGTCAATTTTGAAGCAATGGGTCACTTTTTGGCATACCCTCCCTGCATTCAGATCCTCTTTTGAAGAGGTGGAGTTGGTTGTTCGTTTCCGTTTCTTCAGGGTGCGGGTGCTTGTTGCCGTCCTGTAAGGATAGACAGGTTTATCCTTGCCCCAAGACGCCATTAGGGGCCATGGAGAAAAGGTGCCCTAATCAATCCATGCGCAAGCCCACGCGTCGGGCCTCACCGTGAGCAAGAGTCTGGCAGACTCTTTCACGGTGACAGGACTCTCTGAAGATGTGCTGAGGGCTGCCTAGGCAAGCAACGAAGCTGTTGATGTATTTGTGTGCTCTGCGCACCGCAATTTTGCGTGCAATTCTGCCCCTTCTGCCCCTTCATTGTCAACCTCGCTGCATAATGGGATGCGCACACGTTGACAAGGCACCCGGGGGATCTCTACCGGGTGCACCGTTCCTACCAGCGCCTAACTGTAGTTTACGGACCGGGGCGCCAGCAAGGGTTGGCGAACCCTAAACTGTACGGCTGCTAACTTACATGAGCTAAATGATAATGCATGGGGGGCATCTAGCTGCTTTCCTCGCATCAAAACAAAAGGTCAAAGTGATAACTCGAATTGGACAGATAAAAGATTCAAGAAGCATGTAGAACTTGGATAGCTGCCAATATTAATAAGTCGAGAACAGGTTCCTAGATCATGGCTGCTAGCTTTCCATGTCGGGGCAAAATTCGAAACGGATTCTTGGTGTGCAAAGGCGGAAATCGAAGGTAGAGCTGGGAAGATTCTGCTAAAAGGTGAATGGTCATGGGAGAATGTGACCAACTGGCTTGCAAGACCAGACCACTCCCTGCTTGGAGTCCTTTTAAAGGGAAGCTGCTCAGGTCTATTATCTAATCAACAGCTCGACAACCCATGGCAACAACCAGAGACGTCCTTGAATCAATGCTGCCAAAGCAGAATCGTTTCCAAATAGGTCTCAGCTGTGGGACACAGCTGAAGCCAAGCGACATTGTCATCCGCAAAATGCAGGTTCCTGACATCCCTGAGGCTGTTCTGCTCTTTGCGGAACACCTTTCCAGGGCCGCAGACCCATTCTATGCCCTTCGGGGCCTGCCCTTCACATATTATCTACAGTACTGGCAGACGGTTGTCAGCAAATCTGTAGCCAGGGGGCTGGCTACAGTAGCAGTTCTAGCAGACCATAAGAGCATTGCCTTGGGGAATGAGCTGGCATGGACAGATACAGGAGGCAGGCAGGAAGGGACCGCAATACCTTCAGTAGTGTGCGCAGTCAGCACATTACCAGCAAGCGAGTTTCTGAAGATCGATGAGGAGGACTCCAAGCATGGGGACCGCGAGGTGGAGGATGCAGTCTACGACAGCCATTTTGAGGCGTTCTTCAGGTATGTATCCCTCAGCTTCCAATCCTATATTGATGAACTTCCTTGCTCTTGTCGAGTGGCAAAATATCAGACGGGTTTGCATTTTTGCCCCTAAATATCTGATTACGGTTGTCAAAGGTTGACTCCCCAAGGCTGTTCTTGGTTGTGGGGATCGTCAAACTCACATCGAGTTTCATTCTGCTGGAGTGGGGCGATAGAAGGAAAGCTTATGTAAATATGCACTGCCAACGGATGGACTTAGATCCAGTATATGACACTGCAATTTGAGCTGACAACTCTGCTGTTGACGAACCTGCCCAGTTGTCACGGAAGCCTCCGCAGACATGCCCACATCAGGACCCCTCAAACCAGAGTTTTGTCTCTTGAACCCCCACGGACCTCTAGTACATCTGACCAGAGTTCACTGGAAGCGCGTAATCTGTGGACACTCGTATTGGACAGCTTGGCATTGGCCTCCTATTGAATCTTAGCATTAACTTCTAACCTGCAGAAAGCCTCTGTGTCCTCTACAAAAGTTAGTATACATCATTGGGGGTGTCACCAACCCACAATTCCACTGCCCTGGCGTTGCGAGGCGAACCACGGATCTTGTTTTGAGATTTGCAGTGGACCAGGGTTTTCTGCATGCCGTTGCCGATTGTCTGAGCAACGCAGGTAGTAATTTTGCCACTAAAACTCTTGGGGTCAAGCTGTCCAACACAGTGAGCATGCCATTGAGTAAAGTTAAGTTGAAGGACGGAAGGCAACCGTTTGACGGTCGCACAGACATACCCAACTATGCAATGTTAGCTTGGGTGGACCTTTCAGAGCATCTGCCAAGAAGCCGCTTGTAAGGAAATGTCAGCAATCTGCTAGGTAAGGTGCATAGGAGGACTGGAGGTACTGAGAAGCGTCATTAGATTCCCGGAGTTTGTATATCAGGACAACACTGAGTAGGATTAAACATATGGCCACCATAGCTAGTCGATGCGTTAAGTTATAAATCGGTCGAATGGACGCCTGGCATGCGCGCTGAGATTCTGCATACCTCCTCCCATCGCACGAACTTACTCTATAATGCATAACAAGTAGACTATTGCATGTGCGGTGATGAAGCAATGCAAGATGAGTGAGAACTCCAACTTGATCATTCTGAGCGTCGGATGCCATGCGGCCCGATGGCGAGCGGGCGTTTACATCTACAAGCCTGGAGGATTGATAGACCCATATGCGATTGTGCGACGTTTAACAGTGTCACGTGAGTGTCTTGCCGGCGGTTGCAACCGCACATGATGTATAGCGTCACGTGCCTTTATGAAACGAGCCAACAGCTCCCATGCGGCAGGAAAGCACCTATGGCTCTTGGCACACCGCCCGCTCATGGGCCATATCTGCTTGCAACACTTCGTCTTCTGCAACACCGTGTGTACCTTCTGATTGATGAGAAAAGGTAAATCAAGGTTCAGTACGCTTCTCGTGCTAGCTCACGAAGTTGAAACACGTCACAGCAGCTTGCTCAGTTCCTTTCACTCGTCACGAAGGCTGAAGGCGTGCTCCTTTCCCCGGGCCATAAAGTTCTCCCGCGCCGCGTATGCAGTCTCCTTTGTAGGCACCTGGGAAGAAAGTGTTGGCTGGTCACGATCGGGATTTGAATAGAGCCATAAAATGTATGCAGGGAACACGCCGTACATGAGGTCTCTGAACTCGGAAGCGGTTGGAAGATATTCGTGGCCAGAGTGATGCTTTCCTATGTCTGAGAATGATCCAGGGGCGCTACGGCCTTCCCGGCCACAGTCATCTCGGGACTAAGGAACAGTAGGAGCAATCGTGTGGAATCAAAACAAGCATGTCAAAGCCGTTGCCCTCAGCTTACGATGACGACCAGCACTGACCTAGCAAAAAGCGATTGTTTGAAAGAGCCACAACAAGGTAAAAGTGAAGTGAAGGCCCTTGCGCAGTACTCGCGAAGCTGCGGGGTAAGCCGCTCCCAGTCACTACCCCAACTACATCAGACATTAGTTGCTTCCTGAATTCGGCCTTGAAAGACGGAATTGGAAATACGGACGGGAGCGCAGCTCCCGTCCGTTTCTGCCGGCCTCTTTCCTGTTGGCTGACTACTTCTCACTGGGAGTAACCAATCATGAAAATGCCTGGACCCGAAGGGCTCACACAACGAGGGCCCGCTTTTGAAGGCCAAACTCCAAACCGATGCTCATGCTTGACCATCCACACTTCCGGATCTCGTACATGTGATCGTTGACGATTTGGAACGATAGCCTGCTGACTGCTAAATATGCTGACGCTTTGCTCACCAGCTTTTCAATCATCAGATCAATCGGCAGACTACATTTTCGCAAGTCGGGCTGTCTACCTGAAGGTGGAGCTTCAAACGATCCTCCAAAACCATTGAACATTATTGCCAAAAACCTATGCACCGATTCTTACCGCGTAGCGCATCCCGGTCGGCTTGAAATGCATGCCGTCGCACTTCCGGCAGTGCACGTCCGGGTACTCTTTCCCGACGGTGTCCGTCCGCTCCTTGCAGACCGCGCACGCCCAGAAGCGCTTCACCAGCTTCGGACAGAAGCGGACCGGGTGGTGTTCGGACACGCACAGGTCCGGCTTCTTCTCAGTGGACCGACGGCACTGCACGAGAAGGACTTGGTGTTAGCGCTTGCCTGCAATCGCTGGATGTAGGCGATCTTTGAAAGGAACAATCGAGTGCGTCTCGACCTTTTGTAACTAGAGCTACTGACGAGTCACAAAGCAAACCTTACCGAGTCGCAGGCTGGACATTCACGCTGGACTTCCAGCTCAGAACTTAGAAACCCGCGATCTCGTTGGAAAACGTTCTCCCACAACATTCACGCTTGATCAAAATCAAGTACGAAAGCCCTGCTCTTCTCGATCTTGCCGCATTCGCTCGGGCTAAAATCAGCGCAGGATTCCTAGTCAAAAGCTGTCAGGTACGCTCGGGCTAAACGCCGCATCTGGACGCAGAATCCAAGACAAGGAGCCTTTGCTAACCTGGTCGCAGCGCCAGCCCTTGACGGTGACGGACTGGATCTTGTCCATCTTGGCGGCCAGCTCCTCCTTCTTCTCCAGGATGTCAAACGAGCCCAAGGCGCGCTCAATCTCCTCCTGATGAGGGACATAAATCAGGTTCAGTCCTGATTGAGATAATAGGCGCAATCAAAGCTGTTATACCGAGATGTTCAGATTAGAACGAGTGGGCGAGCACCAGCGAAAAGCAGTGTAGGCGCCTGCAAAGCAGCGTGGGTTGGTTGAAGAAACAAAGCTCTCAACGGACGTATCAGTGACGGAGGTTTGGACACGTGTCCGAGACACGGACTCAGCGTACTAATGTCTCGCATGCAATCGACAGGTTGGAAAAGCGAGGGTTCCCTTTACACAGGAAGGAGTAGAGGGAGGACTCGGACGCACGGATTGTAAAGATTCGCCGGGATACCCACCCCTCAGAAGCATGAACGCCTACTCGAATAATCTCATTTTCTTGACACCTGTACGGGCTTTCACATGCGCATACTTCAAGGTATAGCGCTCGATTCTATCCAGGTTCTACGCCTCACCGCATCGCCCATGTCTCTGAAGACAGACTCGCGAGGCCCCTCCTCCATCCCCGCCACGTCCCGAAACGCTGCTGCAAACCCTTTCTTAATTGCCACGTGTCCGTCCGCGGGCCTGACACGTGGCCCCTGGCCTCCTTCTTGGGGGTCTGCCAGAAACAACGAGGATCGGTGGCGCATTGGAATGCATACAGCTTGAAAAGTTGTGGCCAGAAATATTCGAGTGCTGTTTCGAAAGGCGACCAAGTCGCTATATTTCCTCTAGTTTGTGAGGGAGTTCAGAAAAGTTGAAAGCTACGAAGCGCAAGTATTGGAATGGCCAATATCGCTCTGAAGAGTACTTCGACTGAGCGACTCGGAGACTTTGAGGTATCAATCGATAGCTCGTCGCCACTTTGCCAGCACACGAGAACTCATATCTGGAAGGATAGACCTTCTAGAAATCGACAATGTTTGAGGGACTTGCTTCAATCCAAACAAACTGCCTACAATTCTGAAAGCGTTTGGAGCGAAGCGCTGCTCTCGAACCTGGGCCGAAGGATCACTTAAAGCCCTACTCAACAGCCCCCTTATCGCAGAAAACAGAAATAGATCCTGGAGAAAAGACAACATTATGAAGGCATGAAAAGATAACACAAGCCGCAGATCGTCGAATTAGAGGAGGCCTTCGCGCTATAAGCTCACCTCTTTCTTTACCCTCGCCGCTTGACGCTGAGACTTTCTTGATGCGCTGACCGGCAATGATCGATCGGCCCTCTGCAACACATTAGTCCTTTTACATCGTCTGCACCCTAGTGCGCTTCATCTGGACACTTACACCGCTAAGTTTGCTTCTAACTGTTTGCCAGAACTCGTAACATATGTGGTCGAAGGAAAGAGCAGTCAAGTGGGTCCGGCTGCATCAAATGCTCGCGCACTTCTGAAAACTTTCAGAATCTAGGAAGTCTGGTCTGAGCCACTTACTTTACCGCCAATTGCACGTGATTCCACACAGCGGAAGCAAACCGTTCCGGTTAAAGGGCAGATTTAACATTTGACGGGACGGCGTAGCAAGGTCTATCATAAGGAGCGGGATGATTGAAAGGCGGAAACACCGTTCAGCTTGGTGCACCCCTAATGTTACCCTCGACATCCGACAAGCTTTCAAAAAAGCTGGGGGCCTTCTATAATCAGAATCGGAACAGAGTGGCGTCTGACGATAGTATTGGGTTTCAATGACACACCTTTGTTGTTGCTTCTTAGAAGGTCCACGAGCTCCTGAAAAGGAAAGAGAAAGTGGGGAGCTGAGACCCGGTAATGGGCGGCAGTAGAATCACAGGTTTCTTGGCCGTTGATGATTCCTTTATGGGCTGGTTGAAAAGTTGTTATGTATCCAATAATCAGACTTGGACAAAAATGAGCCTTGGAGCAAGATTGACCATCGATCAATTGTCCAAGGATCTGGGAATTGAGCCTGGTAAACAGCCTGCTTAGCAGCCAAAACATCCTGTGATTCCTTGATAGTGCTGGGACTTATCGTGTAACGCCCGATTTTCCCCTCTCGCACCGAGGCGAATCAAGCCTCGTTTCACTTAGGTAGCCAGGATCGTAGTCTCGTCTTATCCGCTTCGCTCGACATAAAGTTGATTTTACCACCAACAGATGTCGCCCTCAACACCTGGCTGGATCTAGAAGTAAGCTTACGCGCGAAATACATCCAGGAGGTCACTGGCCTTGAACGCACCTCTTCTTAACTGCGATACTGGCTAATCTGCTTCCTGTTTCACACTTTTCTCGTCTCTCTCTCGAACAGAATCTTCCTCACCTCCCTTTCTTGCGCGCTGAGCTTTGCGCTCTCCTCCACAATCCTCCGCTTCAGCCTCGCCACGTCTTCCCGTGGAGGCCCCTCCAGCGTCCGTTTCTGGACACGTGGCCTCATCTCCGAGAATTCCGTAGGAACCCTCTCCTCGACCTTTGGACTCGACTTGGTCGCTGGTTCGACCACATCCGGCTTCTGCTTCTTGGCATCACCATGGCCTTCGTTTCCCTTGGCGCTAAGTTCTCTCATAACCTGCTGGTTGATGCAAGTCGCGGAAGTATGCTCATGCGATCTTCGTGCCGCTCCAGTCTTGAAGCGCGACTCACAGTACGCGCACTTATAAGGTCGCTCCTTTTCTTGGTCGCCCCCTGCCTCGCCGCCGTCAGTGGCCCTCTTCCGCGACGCCTCCGCCTCGGCGGCCTTGCTGACGTCATCGCTTGGCCTCTTTCTAGACGCTTCCGCATCGGCGGCCTTGCTGACGTTATCGCTTGGGCCCTTGGCGCTTGGAACTCCTGTGCCGCTCTCCGGCCCCCTCTCAGTCGCACCATTGTTGCGGCCAGAACCCGTCTTTTCCGAATGAAGCTGCTCCCGGACAGTTTCTTTCCTCTCCCGGCCAGCCTCTTGTCGGCTGCTGAGACCAGCATTCTCGTCAACCGAAGCCGTTCCGCGACTGGGTTTCAACCCTTCCCTCTCAGAAGATGTCTCAAATCCCGGACGCTTCGCGGCCTGTTCCACACCGTCCGGTGTCGGGCGCTTCTCGGACGTACCTCCCTTCTCCTTCAGACCGTTTGACGCTAACCTGTCCACGCTTTCGGGAGCGTTAGGTCTCCGGACACTCCCCTTCAAGCCTCCCACAGCTCTCATCCCTCTGTCGTCCATTTTCGCCACGCGCGCGGCAATACGGTGCTTTCGCTGCGTCAGCGTTTCTCGCTCCGGCCTTTCCGTTGGTTGAACGTGGTCTTTTCCTCTTCCTTCCCCATCTGGAGTCCTCACATTAGGCAACCTCTCGGTTCCACTTCCGGTTTTTAATCTCTCCCCAGCGTTGGTCTTGCTTCCACCTTCTCCACTTGCACCAATGCCACGTCCCTTCAGACTCTCCTGGCCCCCGTCTTTTTCTGTCCCCTTTCCTCTCTCAGTCCCTGCATCTTTCTGCCTTTCCAACTCTTCCCCTCGCTTCCCAGTCTCATTTGTTCGAACTTTCGGCTCAACAACCCCCGCTGCCTCGCTCCGCATCTTCTCGATCCGCAGCCTCGGAGCCTCTTCAGCCTCCCCTTTCAGCGCCGCTTTTAACGCTTCTTCTGTCAGCTTTCCCCGCACAGCCTCCCCTTTCAGCGCTGCTCTCAACACTTCTTCTGTCAGCTTCCCTCTCGCAGCCTCCCCATTCTCCATCTTTGGGGTGCTGGCACCCATTTTCACGCTTCCGCACCCGTCGGCTGTTTGGTGATCCCCCTCGGGTGGCTCATGCAGCGACCCAGCGTTCCCGTCATTACTATCTCGTTCCGTCCCCTCTTCATTCCGCCTCGCGTTTTTCCGTTCCGCCGCCTCGGGCACGCCGTCTGTTTCTCTTCGAAGCCCGTCCCGTTCCGTCCAGTCCCCGTCCGCCTTCGTTCGCTCGTCCCTCCTTTCGGGCCGATTTCCGTCCAGCTCCGTCCGCATGCCGTTCCGCTCCGTCCGACTTCCGCCCGCCACTGCCCCGGTTCCTTCCGACCCCGCCCGCATGCCGTTCCGCTCCAACCGGATTCCGTCCGCTCTCAACGGCACTTCGCTCCTTTCCGTCCGGATCCCATCCGCACCCGTGCGTACGTCTCTTTGTTCGGTACGGGCCCCGTTTCCTTCGGCTCGGAGACGGTTCCGTTCTAATTGCTGCCTCTTCCGCTCCCGCTCGTCGAGGCCCAACGTCGCTCCTGCCACCCGCTTCAGGTTCTCCTTTCCGGCCAGAGCTTGCCTATCGAATGCAGACGCCGGCTTCGGCACTGACGTCACTTTGTCCTTCCTTGTGACGTCAGCGTTGGGTCCGGTGCCAGCTCTGGCCGCGATAGGCGCCTTGGCGGGCCTGCGAGGCGGTAACGAAACCAAGTCAGGTCCGACAAGTTCGTACAGAAATAAATCTTGCGTCCGGTCGTTTCCCCTGCAGGCACGCATTATTGACAGATAGCAAGGGAAGGAAATTGGCTGTCAGCGAGTTGCAACAAAACTCAGGTCATATAGAACATCAGCAGAGAACCGTAAAGAACCACCACTTTGGCTTTCTTTGTTGAACAGAAATTAGCGGGCACCTGATTCTGCTTACACTTTCAAACAACAGGCAGAAAAGATGCGGACTCACCCAGGTCTGATCGCACCGTTGGTCATGTGCTTGCTCGGCGCTTTATTACGATCTGCATCACAAAGTGTATCGTGATTGGTAAGGCTTCAAAAAAGGTCTTTTGAAACCTCTTACAGGAACGTTCGAGTCCTTGAAGCCTTTCGTCAGCTTCCTTGGACGTGCTGAACGCTTCTTATAGTTGCACCGACCAGACTCGCACCACGGCCCGGCTCCTTTCTTCTCGCTTCAGGTCCTTTACGTGCGGAAGATCAGCGGGGAAGCGGAATATTTGATTCAGGCCCCGACTAAGCAGAGAATAGGAACTCCATTAGGACTTCCCGCTGTAGATCTCGATTCTTCAACCCTTCCCGAAAGTACCGACTGAGATCTCGACAAAGGAGTGTAGCTCAGCAGACGCATGTCCAGAACCCTGAGACTCTCACAACGATTGATACAAGGGGAGTGATTGGGCGGTCACCTTTATCTGCCTTCTTCTCCTGTTGCCGCTGAATCGATGCCGCGACGGCCAGGGCTTGCCGGCTTCCTTGGGAGTTGGACCGCTTCCGTTGCTCCTGCCTGCAGCACAGCGATGCATGGGCGCTAAACAATTGAGGGACTTCGTTGGGTTTCTGAGACTCGTACAGTTTGGCGTTTGCAGCTCATCACGATTTTCGCAACTGTGAGACCTTGTAACTGCGGAGGAGTTGCGAAACCAGGAATCTTGGGTTTGCCATTTCAAAAGCAGAAGAGTCGACAACTGATACCTGTTTCTGTGAGACGACCCAAAATTCGGAGGTCAAACGAGTCCCCGCTTTGATGCGGAAAGCGTTTCATAGGCGCAAAACAAGTGTGATGAGGAAAAAGAGCAAAAATGCGCAGCTGGGAAACAACTCCCTAGCAGTCAGTACGCTAATTAAGACAGGCAAAAGGCGACCCCGCGGACGCTCTCCAAAGCGCTGGCCAAATCGGTTGCGTGCTCACACTTCAAGCGATTGGTGCAGCTTCTTCCTGGTAACGCACCTGGCAAACAAGACCTTCCCCGAATAGAATTCAAATTTGGAAGACTTGCAAAACAGGCATTCTTGCGCTCACTCGGCCTGCTCCTGTAGCTGGCCCGGCTTCACGACGTTGACTGCGCCTGACTTGCCGACACGTGGCAGCGGCGCTGGGGGCGCGCTGACGAACACGTTGTTCATCACCCGGCCGTGAGGCTCCCGGCTCAGCTTTCTGCAGCTCAAGGAGAGAGTGACGTCAGTCTTCCAGGGTCAGATCGGGGGTGGCGGCTGACGTCATCTTTTGATTTGACAGAACAATTATCCACCTCCTATGCTCGCGGGAGGGCTTCCCTGATGTCCTGCGGTGATTAACTGGATATGCGCACCGGGGTTTGAATCAGGTGGTAGTCAACGCCTGGACATAGGACATTTTAGCTCCATGGAGCAAGAATGTTCGTGTCTGTTACAGCAGGGGCACCTTCTGCAGCATACAGTACGCGACAGTGGAAGGCAAAAAAAGCAGAAAGACTTGAGAGACGGCTACGCAAATCAATGGAGTTGAACGGTTGAAAAGTGTCTGAGAAGAGGAACCAGAGCGAAGCGCTCACCCCTTCCCAAGGTCCATACGGTGCCCTTTCTCCTGCGCCTTCTGGAGCTTCTGCAGCTTCTGATACGCACCCTGCGATCGAATGAAGGCGCTTTGAAGGTAAGTTTTGAGTCTATTCCTTCGACGGAGCCCAAGAGCGAATCGTTAGCGGCTTCTTGCAGCCTGCAAAAGATGTTGCAGAACGCTACAGATCCTCAAAGCACTTCATGGCCACTCTGAAGTCAAGAATATCAAGACCTTCTGACTTCTGGTGGTTAACATATTCTTGGGGTGGCAGATGGGCACCACTCGAATCTTCGAATTTGGAAAGCGACGTTCTGTTGACGGGAGTATCCAAGGCGTCCCTCCTTTTGCAAGAGCAGAGGGCGGCTGGCATTTGTTCAAGTTATGAAGAAGGCGAACTGAGCTTACCGCCGCATGGTACTGGCAGTATTCGCCCTCAGACCTGCACGGAAACTGTGCCTTCAATTACTCGCAGGACTCTCTTTTATCTTCGAATCAGACGGGAAAAAACGAGTCCGAGGACTGCAGCCGACCATATCTCGTTCGAAGGCGGCAGCTGTTGACGTGCTCAGGGCATCAGGCAATCTGTATCTTCGCCCTTGAAACTTCCAACATGAACGCCGTAAAGAACGTTGAGCAACATGGCCTCGAATTGACGTAACTAGTAGGCTCGACTTCAAGGGCGCGTGCCGAGAAACAGGCACTGAGATCGACGGTAAAATGCGTTCTGTGCCGAACAACCAGGATTGGGATGTTGACAAAGCGGAAGACGAAAACGACACGCTTAGGAACAAGAAGGAAGAACGAAGCAGAAAATGATTCGCACTGAACGGTCTTCGAGCGGCGACGGAAGCGCCAGGCTGAGTAAAAAGCAGAAAATAGCGGGCGGATAACGCACTTGTTGATGGGCATGGTACAGGGCATGCCGTCCTTGCGCGTTCCTCGGCAGAGCCCCAAATCTGCGGACGTCCCCAGCTTGAACACCTGCTGTCCGTTCTCCGCGCTCAGGCAAAAGGGCGCCGACGAGCGGGCACCCCCCTTTTCCTGCACGTCGGCAAGGCTCATGGGATTTGTAGGGATTTACGAAAGGGAGAAAGAGAGCGTGTTGGAGTGACTGAACCTGCAGTTGTGCTCGTTGTTTTTGTTGTAGCGTTCTCAAGTCCTCCTTGACCTGTGAGAGTGGACCAAGTCGAGAAGATAAGAAACTTTGGACAGCTCCTCGTCAGGCTTTTAGACACCCTGCTTAGCGCAAAGTGTCCCGTATTCGGAAGATTTGCTGTCCTGCGGGTCTTCGTCAGGTTCCTCTCGGCTCTTTCGCTCCTCAGGGAGGCGCCTGAGGATCTGACCAACTTTTAGTTTCTTGGAAGATTCTAGACGCTCTTGGAGCTAAATACTTATGCATGTTGCGTACGTCTTGGATCTCATTGAGTATCAAGGCTTTCTTGGACCCTTTACGCCTGTTGGAGATACGATCACGGGAACAGGTCTTAGCACCCGGGGTACAACTTGACGACGATATGAGATCCGCAGCAACATTACCTCACCTCGGGCTGAGAGTAAGAATGTGTATGCGTCTTCGGTCAAGCAAAAAACGTTTGCATGGGAATTCAAACTCGACCTGATAGATCCAAGCCGTAAATTTCGTCTTGCGCTCCCACAGCGAAGATGCAAATCGTCGCGTAACGCACCTCCTTGTACTTGGCGTTCAAAAGGCCTACGACGCTCCCCTCGGACTCCTTCCAATGCGCCTCAAACGCGTCTCCGAACAGGAACAGCGAGCACGTGAATCCGGCAAGGTCGGTGACTTTCCACAAGCCGTACTTGCGCCCGGACGCACTCTCCCGGGGGGTCATCTTCTCTGAGAGCACTGCCGCGGTCGCCCAGGGGCTGGCCGGCGTGCCCCCCTGAAAAGCAGAGCTGCAAGAAATCGTGCAAATGAGAGTCAGTGAGGGGAGGGTTCGAAGGTTCGAAGAACTGTGAGGTATTATTGGATGGCAAGGACGGAAGTTGGCAGGATTTGCAAGTGGTGTCCAAGAAGGACAGCTGTTGGAAGGGGTGGCGTTCCAACAGGTTGTCTCGACTGCTCTTGAGCCTTTCAAAAGCACGAGCGTCGGAATCCAGCTCCTGTAAAGCCTGTCTTTCTTCACCAGAATATGCTTTTGAAGCCTTCCAAGCTGTAGTTTCATACTGGCTGGTTTGACTCTGTTATAAACTTCACCTCAAGGCTTTTACAAAACGTTTGAAGCTGACACTCTTGTGTCAACTCATTAAGACCCAACCATCAAAAGCCCTGGTTGGGATTTCTTGCCGAAAACTGACCTGATTTTGGAAAGGCGTAAGAAGCGGCTCCCTGCAAACCTCTCCTTCACAACGATGCTAGGAAGCAACGGGTTTCTGCAGCAACCACCTCAGCGTCAGAAGGAACTTGTGTCCACCTGGACGTGCCCCTCTCAAAGCAGAGATAATAACTTTGAACTTGTGATTGAAAAAACTTCGTTTAAGAAGGAATCGTTGAGTCCAGGTTACGGGTGTCTCAGCTGGGCCGCAGGCGGCACAGATTGACGTTGTTTGTGTGGCCGAAAATGAGAGACTTCACTTCATTGGACATGTGTTGACATCAACCTACTGGAAGAGGCCAAGTGAACCATCCTTTAGAATTGCTAGAAGGAGGGAAAGCTCCCCCATGTCTTTCTCTGATTGTGAATATTGCTACCCTTGTGCTCAAAGGAGTTGGTACATACACATCTCGGTTCAAGCATAGCACATGATGAGAAACCTCCCTGGCCGGTTGATATCTGACTGGCGCGCAGAATTCAATTCCTCACAAACCTCAACTTTGCATATGCATCACCTCAGAGCCTACTCACTTGATCTTGAGCCCAGAGTGCGGCTCGACATTGTCCCCCTTTCCTGGAATCTGACGCGGTTTCCCTTTAGGCGCCTCTCTGGCCGGTGCGGCAGTCTTCTGCACCTTGGCCTTGGCTTTCTCTTCAGTGCCCGCCCTCGCTGTGCCAAAAGCGGCAGACAGCGAGACTCTGCTCCTGGGGCCTAAGGTCTTGTCCACCTCTGCGAGAGGGAACAATCAAAGAGATGAGCCAGCTTTGAGGTCTTCACTGGCTGAAGCTGAAGTCCAATTCTGTGTTGATTTTGCTATGGTTGGCATCCGACGCCCTGCTTATTCAAAAGCAGTATAGTATGTTTACTTCTGGGTGAGAGATCTGAGCACAAGAGATTGCAGATATACAATTACTTTTCATCCACCATTACTCATGGCTAGCCTTGTAATTGCAGTGTTGCCAGTGTAATTTCCGATCTGAAGAGGAGCGTCTCGCTTCCGCTGTTGTAGGAATGAGATTCAAGAAGTCCAAAACAACCCGACCCAACCCAGCTAGTTTCTCAAGCAACATGCCCACCTGGTGAGTGGTATGCTCTCGCTGACGTTCCTCCTGCAGGACCGGGGGGGCTTCCAGCTGCCTCCACTTCAAATGCACTGGTCTGAGCGTTTCCTGACGTCATAGAATGTGGTGTGTTAAATATTGAATGAGCTGGGAGGTAACTGATAAGGACGGTATAGGATACGAAATCATCTTATGTGTGTATCATGGAACCACTGCACAGTACTCAGTCAGATTGGAACGTGCCCTTAAACACATCCGGAAGGCAAGGGGAGTTGTTCTCAGTCTCCTTGGACTCACTTGCAATAACTTTCACACTTATGGTTGGAGGAAGGAAATGCATATGTGCATGTGATTCATGCACCTGCTATGATTGCAGAACTTTGATAAGGATTCCAATTCGGTCTGTGACATACCATTTCCTATCCTTGTACTAGAATGGTGTCCGACCAGAAGTAGACATTGTTGTTAAGCAAAAAGCTTCCCCATGCGATTCAGGGTGCTTCTCAAAAACTTGGGTGATGCTTCCACCCGAAGGGACATTACAGTAACCTTTGTGAGAGCAGGCAGTTGTACTTTGATGTCAAATTGCAATCTGCTATGGTTCCCTACCTAGTTCCGCATCGTCTGGCTGCAGCGCCAGCAAAAGATCAGTATCATCGTCCTCCATTGCTCCACAATTTTCTCACCCCACCCCTGGTTTTCAGCTATTGCAGGGTCCTGCCTTGATGGTTGTAAATGCAGCAATCCAAGGGCAAGGAGCACGCCAATTCCCTCTGTTCTCTGTTCTCCAGCTTAACACATCAAAGACGAAACCTCGAGGTCTTAGGACGCCAGTGGGACGTTGGAAAGTTTTGACCTGTGTGGTCAATGCATACTGCTGATTGCAGAATCTTGTGAAAGCTTGACGCCGGCTTATCAGCTTATGAAGTGAGGCTGACTTGGAGTTTAGAAAGCACTACCCTTCTGCCCTTCAGCAAACACGAGGGATATGGGAGACAGTAACTGTGGCTCAGACTCGTACTTCTGACAAGGCGTTGCTGCAACCACTGACTGGTAGGATTTTGCCAAGCTTTCCTCCTGCTTCCTACTTCCTCCAGACCGCCCTGTATATGGGCGGTACTCTGTGGAGCACGGCCTTCTCACATGGTATTCAAAGGGCACCACGCAGCCCTGAATGCTTCCCAAGTTCCCGCATGCCCTCTTTGCGGGCGCCTCTCGTCTTGTCTCAGCACCACCACCATTGCATGAAGCATTCAATATACCGTATTCAAGTATTATAATTTGAACGATTTGGCGCGAAATAGCCGCGTCGCGGCAAGCGGCCGCGCCTTGGGCTTGGGCGGGCACGCGCGCGCTGAGGGGGATCAGTGATCGGGAACCGTCCGATCTGTCAACCGTCGGTGACACGGGACAGGGAAGCTGCCAGGCCTTCGTTAACATCAAGACTTCAACGAAGGTCCGAATTCGGTGTTTTGCGTCAGGCGTACCTTGCCGCTTTAATATGAGGCATACAGTCTGGTAGAAATACTTGATTGATAACATCTACAAGGCAGGCTCAGAATCTCCTTGCGGAGGGAATGGACATCAGCAGGTTCATGAAGGCACGAGAGGTTGTACTGGTCGACAATGATATGTAATGAGTCAGCAAGTGCTCTACTTCAAGAGGGATCGAAGGGTATGGGCAGTGCGTATTCTAAGAGCAGCTTGTTCGCTGGCATGTCTTCAGACCTAGTAGTAAAGGTTCTGCTTCCAAGTGCATCATGCATTTCAGATTGCCCCACCAGACCACCATCACATCAGTTTTCGAATCAGAAGAAATGAAGTACTCCTGCATGGGGGCCAGCGTGCTCGACGAATCGCAGCTCCAACTCCAATTGCTCGTTTACAACGAGACACGTCAATGATAAACGGCACTACTTGAAATATATTTCAGAAATATATGTACACCAGTACTTGATATACGGTATATATATTGTCGTGCAGGCTGCGTTTAATAGGGGGCCGCAAAACTTGGTAGACTAGTCCATACGGCCGGTGCAGAGCAGAAATCACTTCGATGACTTCAAAATGCACACAATCAAACTCTTAAAGTTGACTGCAAGGACCTCGAGTAACTTGTTTTCTTCTGTACGTTCTGAAAGCACGTGGTGCATCATTGACAGCTCTGTTCTTGAGGCTCTCTTCCTCCAAGCAGCCACTACAACTTACAAAGCTCATTCAGCGGGTTCACGATCAGTCACGCATGGACTCAGCTGCAGTGTACTTAACAGTCCCCAATTTCAGTGTGGGCCGGGTAAGTTTACGGTACTTACGGTGCCAGCCGCTTTGACCTCGGAGTAAATAAAGAGCTCCGAAATTAAACGGACTTCAATCTATAGTCCAAAAGGCTCTGAACAGAATCAGTACGTGCACTAGTTCGCCATTGGGCATATCATGGTAGCCGGCCGCGGTGGCATTGATTGGTGCATAGCTCAAGCCTTGAAGCGCGCGCAGACGCAAGCATAGAATTATGCGTAAGGGGACCCGGCATGCATACCATTGAACACGTACAGCTAGTGCACGGATGGTAAATCACTGAGAAGGCTTGTTTGCAAACAGTAATACTACTGAGCGGATTGAAAGCACAAATGATATACACTGACGGTGTATTCTATGGTGCATGAGCGCCATTTTTGGCCTGGTGCCAATTTCGCGAGCACCATGATGCGCTATATCATTCGTAAGCTGAATTTCTCTCCTTTTTGCATGTTCTGCTCCGAGCTGACTGACCATTATCAGGAAGTTGTGTGTGCAAGTAGTTTACATTCTTTTCTATCAACGACCTGTGACCGAGGTTTACAGCTATACTCCTACAGATCCCAACCACTCTCCCCGTATCATAAAGAAGCACCCATCCGAAGCCTTACATAGGTGGAGGAGGCGCTTGCTTTGGTCTTAGAACCCGGTGTATGTACTCCCTGATTTCCGGCACCATCCGTTGGATCATCGATGTGTAACTGCAATCATTTATAATCAACTATCAATTATCAGCCAAGTTGCAATGGTTCACAAGTGTGTTATCCAGAATTCGCACGTGGGTGAGGCCTTGCCACAAAGTTCGAAACGCTGACTATGCGCATAATTGAGCCCTGCTGCACAAAAAGTCTCCTGACGCCGATACCACCAGACATGCGAGTGTTGGCAGCTTTCCTCTCCGCCTCACACCTCATGAAGATCCTGTGACCTGAAGAGTTGCCGTTCGGTCCAGCAGACGGGCAACTGCTTTGGCGTCCACCTTATCCTAAGAAGTTGCTTCAGGAGCTGGCTTCAATCAGGCCGGAAAGAGAGTCTGAAAAAGCTTGCTTACATGGGCAAAGCTGACGTCTGCTCGTGGTGCTCCAGCGTGAAGATGACACATTGATGCCGGAGAGTGGATGCATGGTAAGCTTCGGCCAACTCGTACACGTCCGACACGCAATCCACCGCCAGGTCCTTCGCTATGGCGTATTCACACTGCCGCTTGAGGCCTTCTAGCAGGTACTGGTCCGCAGCTCGGAGCAGGTCTTGGGCGATGTCGGGAGTTACGTCTACTGTGCCGGTGTAAATATGCCTGGAGGACCCATACCGAAAATCAATCAGTGTACATTCAGGGGCCGAGCGCTCGGTTGATTGCAATGAGCCGAGGGTGGAAACCAGAAGCAAAACGGGCCCGACAAAGTGGGGCATACCGTGAAACTTAAAGATGCACCTCGATCTGAGTTAGTCCGTTCAGAATTCTGAGATCCTATGCAGGGTTCCTAGAGAGAAGGACACCAGTCGGAAAAAGCTACAGACATGGAAGGAATCAGTTGGTCAGTCTAACCTGAACTAGGCTCTGATCTTTCCAAACTGTACTCTGACCCATCTCAAGTCCGCTCCAGAGTTACTCGAATATGCGTTTCCAGATACGTTTGTTGGATACTGTAGGTCCCAAGTAGTCCCACATCCATGATACGTAAGAACCCCCTTCTCATACACGAAAGAAAAGGTGAAACGCACCTCATCATGGCCTCAAACACTCTCCAACTGATATTCGGTATCTCGATGTCTTCTGCTTGCTTCTCCTGCAGAGGACAACGAATCCCGGTCAATCGTGCTTCTCGGCTGCATAAGCGGAGCACTTAAGATAGCCAGTACGAAAGCTGGAAAAGGCCGGGTCGCTGTATGCGACAAGTACCGAATCTTGAGACAAACTGAAACATCTTGGGTCGTCGCTTTCAAGCCAACCAGTGAGCTGCGGCTAAAGACACGGTGGGCCGCCCTGCAAGTAAATCCATAAAAGTACTTGCTCAGACGTTGCCAATCGCGAAGTCGGAAGCGCAAAATCGACAGCAATACTCACCCGATAACCACCATCGAACATGGCTCTGAACGCATCAGAAGAGGCCAGCAGAGCAATGCGGTGCGCGTAGAAGCGCTGGCCATCGACCACGAAAGATACGTCCGACAGCGTTCGACAGTTGACGTACTGCTCCCCAAGATACACCTGCACGACGAAACGTAAGTAAGTCTTAGGCTTGTTATTGTTCTTTCATCCTAGCAGTCAAAATCTATTGCGCCAGGGCACTTCTTTCGACAGTTCCTCACCCTACTTTGCATGGAAGCGCGGACAATAGCCTGGCATGGCAAGAGGACTGCGACGGGCGCACCAGACGCGAACACGGCTTTCTGCAGCCGTTTCACAACTAAAGAAGATGTGAGACAACCCTACAGCACTTGCACTCGCTAGAAACCTGGGTACAAAGTGGACCAACGTTCGCCACTCATGCTCCCACCATAGCTTCGCCTAAAGGCACGATCATTCAGACAGAGTCGGAAAGGAAACCAGGAAACAAGAAAGAGTAGTGCATCCCTCCGGCTTCGTACAGCGAGCCCAACCAGAACCAAAATCCTGGACACGAACCAGAGCGAATATCGGCTTCCGGAAATGAAAGCAAGCAAAACACCAGATTCGGCCTCCAATTGGAAACAGCAACCACTGATAAGCGCAGCGGCGCACCTGTGGCGTGGGCGGCGGCGGGGCGTTCTCGACGGGCGACAGCGCGGCCGCCTTCTTTGCGAGCGTGTAGACCGCGAGCGCGCCCTCCTGCTGCAGCTTGGGCGTCATGGTGGAGCCCATCATGTCCAGCAGCACCTCCAGGCCGCCGCCGTCGCAGAAGATCAGCCGCTGGTCGTCCTCCCCCGAGAGGTGCGCCTGGAGCAGATTGCACAAAAATCTCAAACTTCGACACCTTATCACTTTACGGGAACATCCGACCGTCTCAGATGCTTTGAAACTTGCCCTCTTCAGGAGCGCGTGCCGAGATGTTCAAAAGCGTGTTTGTTTAGCTCGTGCAGAAGCGCTTCTTGCGCACATGTTCAGAATCGCTACTTGGCAGGATGTTTCAGAAGCATTTATTGTTTGGAGCGTTGAAAGCTCCTTCGACCTTGAACGAGGGGCAACAACGGGGTGATGTCACGACGCCCTAAGATAAAACGAGGCATCCATGTTGAGCGCCTTTGACATAATGTACGGCGATCCAAGAAGAAAAGAGTTGGCTACAGTTTACCAGCGCGATGGCGACCCGCCGCTGTGTCTCCTTGTCCGTGCTGCGCAGCAGGTACAGCAGGTGTCGTAGCACCCGCCCCGAGATCTTCTCCTCCAGCCGCTTCAGCGTCTTTTGAACACAATCCTTGGACGCCTGCGAGTGCCAGGCGGATTGTTTGATAAAATAAACAGAGCTGGTATGTGCCATATAGCAAACGAGAGACATAAGAGATTTATGATGTTGAATTGTACACGAAATGGTCCAGACCGAGTAGCTCATGGGATACGAAGTTGGGTGGGCTTTCTGTGATGCTGATCAAGGGACGAAGTAGAAGGTGCTGTAACGAGTCCCCCCCAAAAAAGGTCAGCTGCCGAACGTTGTCTACCTGAAGGATGAGCTCTGCGTCCCTCAGCTTCTCAACCCCACCCTCTCTCACGATCTCGGCTAGATTGTCCTGCAGGGAGAATAATGACATGATGAGTTGCACATATCTCAACTGCTGCAGGAAACAACGTTGGAGTCTGTCTTGCCAGGGGTTGAGCCTTCTTTTTGCTGCAACACGATTCTCCACAGCAGGTTCTCAGGCATAAAAAGCCGCACTCCATATGCACCAACCAACGTCGTCCGAGTCGACAAAATCAAACGTCTATTGCTCCGAGCAACAAGAAAGTCAACGCACAGCGTGGATGAAGATACCCGGAGAGCACATAACGACAGATATTCAGAGTATTCAGCAATAACTTGTCGCGTTACCTCGTTATCTGCCAGGCCGTAGAGCGCAAACGCAGCGTTGTGTTGGACAGCCCCGCTTTTTGAATCGAGCAACTCCAGCAGCGGCCGCAGACCGCCGTCATGCACGATGCCAGCCTCGTTGTCCTTATTCTGCACAGTGAGAATCTGCTTTTACAGCTGCAATCTGACAATCTTGGGTTGTCCGTTCCAAACCGAATGAAACAACCCCTCATGCACACAAGCTGTTCTCCCCTTCGCGGCATGGAAACCCCCGGAAGCAACTGGCCGACGCCCTACGCGGCTCAACACCTTCTTCGAGATTCCGGGCACAGCCCTCCTCACAGAGCGACCGAGAAACAGGTGACACTCGCACCCAGCAGGAACATTTACAGACGCTCACTCACCTGTGCTAATCTTCCAAGTGCAAAAGCCGCCATCTCTTTCAACTGCAAGTCGGGAGCCTCCAGCATTTTGATGAGCGGTCGGACGGCCCCCCGCTGCACTATCCGGACCTGCGGACAAGGAAGTTCGCTCAGAGCCACGGATCTGATTACAAAATACAAACGTTCTTTCCAAGCCCCCACGCACAGAAACTTGCTAAGAGGATGGATCTCAGAGTTCGAGCAGTTCGTGCATACCTTATTTGCCGAACGTATCGAGGAACAAAGTTCGTTCTATAAAAAGACGGGTTTCCCTGACCTAAATAGACTGACTGTGGCTCTTCTGTGGACTTTGATCACCAGCAAAAGGCCGGCAACACGACGACGACCCTCCTCAAGGGTCCAGTCCACGGTACGACTAACCGCCTGCAGTCGAAGCGACTGCGGCCCAATTTTGGGCAAAATACACAATAAGACCCATCCTGTACACTTTGAGCTCTCACCTTGCAGTCGGGCTCGGCGGTAGAGAACTGTCCCAGGAGGAGGGCCGCTTCTCGTTGGCTCTCGGGGCAGCGAGAGCTAAGAAGCGAGATGACGGGCTGCAGGGCGCCCTCTTCGAGAACCCGTTTTTTGATGGTGGGGGAGGAGTGGACCAGGTTTCCCAGGACGCCGACCTGGAAACGAGGAAGAACTTTTGCAGATTGTTTCAACCGGTACAGTCGTTCGAAGACTCGTGCAACCAATCGATAGTGGGGGAGGAGGGGACCAAGTTGCCAAGACCGCCGGCTTGGACACGGGGGAGATTGTAAGCGAGTCCTGTCAATTGGTTAAAGCGGTTCTATGACCTCAAGGACATCGTTGATGGTGAGGGAGAAGTAGACAAAGCTGCCGAGGATCCCGACTTGGAGACTGCATTCAAATTTCGGGGCTTCTTTGAACTGCAGCAGTTTGTTGAATTGCGCGACTTCTGTCAAGACGGTATATCGTGCGAGGAACTAGCTGCAATTGCCCGCTCTTACTGCGCTTGATCGCACCATAGGCAACCTTCTAATGATGAAGACGGACTCCTGCCGACTGGTTATTGCGTAAGGAGTGCGTTCCCCCCAAAGCCCCTGACGAATTGCTGTTTCATCCTTGACCAGGCATTCTAGACAATTCAGGCCGTTTGTTGCAGTGGACGAGTGCAGTCGCCTTCTCAATGGCAGCCGCCATCACGAAAGCGAAAACAGGGTGATTATAACTGCTACCAAGTCTGATTATGAGATGCACGCTGAATCTCCTGTGACTGTCTTATTCAGGTTTGAACATACAAGGAGCGCTGTATGACACTGTCGTTTGTCGGGTAACTCTTGGCCACGTTTGTACACAAGAATTGGCGCAGAACAAGGACTTACAGCTTCATAATGGATGCCGACATCCTCGGAGCGCAGCATGAAGACCAGAGTCGGCAATGCTTGGCACTCCACGATCTGCACAAGGGAAGAACCTTTTGCGACTCCAAAGTCGCTCTTCGATCTTTACGGCCAACTCTGACTACTACTTGCACATACCCCATCTCGTAAATCGACAGCCATCACTACAGATGCTTTGAACTCTGATCCGAGCTTCGCTTGTTTCTTGTGTCGACGCTATAAGAGAGAACAGCAGACCTGACCTCTGCAACAGAAGACCTCGAAACGAAGTCCTTCATGCATCACGTCTGGTTTTTGCGACTAAACCCAGGCTCGCCGTCACTTATTGATGCAGATTGACAAAGCGTCTGGAGGGTTTCAACATAGATACGTTGGCGTTGATATGAAGTCCTACTTACAAGACACCGAACATAGATTGAAGAAGGAAACTCCAACTCCTCACCTGCACCTTGTTCTGCTCATTCTTGAAAGCTAGCGTGCGCAGTGATCCAGCTGCTGCTCGTTGAACTTTGACGTCTGGACACTCTAGAAGGGCGACAAGAGGAGGGATGGCGCCTTCGCTTCTGCAAAACAAGAGTCGCGGAGTGTTGTCGCTTTTAAGGACAAAAAAATCGCTGCTGCAGACAAGAGCCACAGGGAGTTCTTTACTGCTGAGTACAGAGAGAGCGAACAGATCTATACATTGAGCACTGGAGAGTATTGCCCCTTCTTCGAACTCCTCAGATGATTGAACAAGTCCAAGCGAGACTGCATCATAGTAACGTGCTGAGAACACCGCTCTCACCTGACTCGTGACTTGATGTTAGCATTTTCATGCGCCATGTTTGTGATGGCATCTGCCGCCCTCCGTATTGCTCCATAAACGACCCTGTCCCCGTAAGTGGCCGGCCGTTGCAGAATGGAGATAAGAGCAGGGAGGGCGCCGGCATCCGCTATCATTCGTTGGTGCTCCGGCTGCAGCAAGGTATGACGCGTAAGACCGATTGCAGTTTCTAGAGACTGTACTTGGAGCGAGGTTCAACTGGAAAAAGTCCTTGAATTTGATCAATGTGACAAGGATCGCTGCTCCTTCCAGACATCCAGAATTCAGCAATGCTTCTGGCAATGACAGAGGCAGTGCTTTCCATTGGATAGAAGACTTGACATGTTTGTGGCCTGACTGTCTTTGCAGGTTGCCTGAGGTGGCTGATTTCCAGTGAAGAGAAACATCTGAGGCTTGCAAAGACGAAATTGATCGCAGAACCTACAACCTATGCTGGCAAAAAGCTTGATTCACACCGATGCAACCATTTCAAGAATAAGAGCTGAGCATGATAGCTCCATCAACCAGGGCATGAACTGTACCCATCCAGCAAAGCGGTGTCAAGACAGAAAGTCAATGTGAAAGCAACTGACCAGGCAAGCGGAAGCAGCCTAGAAGAAGAAGAACAAGAGGCACTCAAATCGTTTTTCAAAAGACACTGTGTCCCGTCAAGGGATCCCTCACCTTGATTGCCAGCAGGCCCAAGGCAAATGCTGCATCCTTTTCAACCTCATGTTCATATGCTATTCTTTCGTCAGGGTGCAGCAACGGAGGTGCCGCTAAATGCGGGACAAGGGCGTCTACTGCACCGGTCTGCACTATCATGTCAATGTTTCCACCTGCAACCAAGAAGACTGGTTGCGCAAGCTGCCTCGAGTTTCATATCATCACAGATTACTGCTCATCAGATTTTAAGATCTTCCCACACAGATCCTTCTGAATTTCAGAACTGACTCAGCACGTCAACACAGTATTTGTTCTAGATTGACAGGACTAACAAATCCCAACCTGTCCGCAGCATATCCGGTTTTGGTGGTGCAGTTGTATCTGTTGAGCTAGGTCAGTTTACACAGTGACACAGGTTCTTGAAAGCTTGATTATAGTTGTGAGAATATGGGCGTGGTCAGTAGATTATGTCACTCTGGACTGATCAGTGGCTCAAGAAAACAATGAGCAGCTTGTGGACACGGACGCAGCTGACAAAGACACACAGAGTTTCTCAACAAACGTCTATGAGGAACTTTTTGAGAAACTAGAGCAGCTTTTCCTACAGAACCAAATGCTGCTTGTTGGCATATTGCTTCACCATTCGCAAGAGGGCAAACACACTGGAGCCTGAAGAAATAAGCTCAATATGCACTCAGTATGGCAGATTGCATTAAGAAGTGGCGCAACAAAGCGAAGTACTTATGAAAGTGCAACTCAAGCTATCATGAAGAAAGGTCCTTTCTGCCGTACCTTTTTTTGCAAAGTCAGCTAGTGCGTGAGCAGCTTGTCGAGCCGCATCCCTGTCTTTTGCTCGGAGCGAGTAGGTGGTTCTGAGAACACTGATGTGCATTTGTATCTCGCGGAGGGCCAAATCCGTGTCGTCCCCTTCACCAACAGGAAAGAATGTTTCTGAATGCTTTCGCTTCTGCCCCTTCCGCTCATTCTCGCTAGCATCTGGACCCGACACGCTGGACATTATGTCACTGGAGAACCTTTCCCTCGACTTCCCAGCAGCCTAACCAACTCGAGCAAGAAGCGAGGATGTCTGAAGCTTGCTAGGCGGAGGCCAATCAAAGCATTCGCCTGCAATTGGAGCAGAACTTTGCTTATTGCAGAGTCCTAGAAGCACTCATCGTTCCACTCCACCCTTCTTGCCCCGTCTCCTAATATACCGGCACTCTTGTTCCGGCGACGAACTCTCAGAGTCAGCCTTTTGTACCGCAGAAGAGATCTCTACTTGCGTGCCTTTATAGAAAAGCCCTCTGAAAAATTGACGGCAGAAGGGGCTCCACAACGGTGAAACTAGTCCCTGCAAAAGCTTGAGATAGACAGGCCAGCAAAATCTGACATGAGCAGGAGAAATCTTCCGAAGAAGACGCGCCTGTAGCGCCGGCGGCCAGAGAGCGGCAAACCGACTTCAGCCCAGGTGTCCACTTTTCGAGGCATGATCTGCATCATCTTTCGTGTCAAATCTGAAAGTGTGCGCGCGCATAAACCTTGATGTCAACGTGACAGACGCTTCAGCTCTTTTCAAGCAACCTGCCGATTTTAAATAGAGAGGGAAGCTTAAAAAGTTAGTCAAGTCAAAGAGCTACATAGTCAGGTTGTTTAGTTGTCGCTATAATGTCGCGGTCTGCGACCAACTCGATCATCTAACTTTGTAAGCTTCCCTCTCTAACTTGAATCGGCAGGCCGCTCGCGAAGAGCTGTTATACCTGCCGCCTCGGCTTTTGGAAGGATAAAACCCAACACGAATCCACAACAGTTCGACGGCTTGATTTCTTAGTGAACAAAAGGTAACCCATTCGAGCATGGTCGTCGAAGCACTTAGGGACACAGTACCATGGCCTATTCAAGTTAAGCTCGTCGGGCAGGGCCTTTTGTTACAGAAACAAACTCCGAATTTTGATCTAAAAACAGTGCTCACCGGAATCCTTCATCTAATAGATCTACCTTTAAGTTCAAGACGTCCGCCATGAGCGGGGCAGCCCTGCTTTGATACGGTTGCCTGTTGGTAGAGAGGCCAGTAGCTACACGACAAAACTGTCTCCGCAAATCTGCACCGTCGGATGTTCAAGACATTTGTTATTTTAACCGTGCGATCGCCCCTCAGGTCCCCGGTCGGTCAAGTGGTGGAGGTCGGGTTCACTCAAGCGGAGTCCACACGTGCGGCACAAATTGGAAGTCGGTCAATTAATCACGCGCGCGTTGTATACCTATACCGCCGGCAGTTGATTCACGTGACACGCCGTGAACCGTCGATCATGACACGTCAACTAAAGAATCCGCTTCACTGCCTACCTGTCAGATTGATTGGTTGTGACACACAAGGCCAGCCCGGGGCCGGGGCCCAAGCACAGGACGACCGACCACCCGGGACTGGACCGTGTCAGGAAATTCGGTCCATCTGCACACTGACCGATTTGACGGTCTCTTTCCCCGGGCACAAGGATGACCACCACTGGGTTGCTTCGCTGGTAATTCAGTCACCTGTCAGAAGGACCAATTTTATTGGCAAAATTCTGTCCCGGGCTCTTCCATTGGACATACTCCAGTCTGCTCCCTTAAGTTGAGTGCCTACCCGGGGCGCAGTTTTTAAAAATTGGTCGACTGGACTCTGGAGTCTGTACCCTCCCCGTACCCTCCCGTTGCGCCATTGCAGAAGGCTGTCATTCCGTCCGGGTCAACAGCATGGCCCCAACTTGAATGCGTCGCCATGTGAAACAATAAGATTTGAAGAACACACGCTTTCTTGTTATTATAGAAACGCTTTGCCAACCTTTTCTTGTTGTTTGGCATAGCGAAAAGAGATCGACATGCATCACAACTTTATTAGAACCACCTGCCTAGCTAGCAATTCAATCATCCGCTTTAGCGCGGCAGCGATACAGTAGTCACATATTGTAATAGTGCAGTATCAGTGCCAGTGTACTGCAACCCATATGTAGCTAAGTTCATTCATGATGTGCCAACATTGAATGGATCCGCGGACATGCATGTGCACGACTTGGTTCGTCGAATCTAACCTATGATTCGGCGTAAAACGCCTTCGAACGATGCAATTTCAATTAAAATGTCCGAATGATCACTTTACATCAATTGTCTACTGTATAGCACGCAATACCATGCATATATATACAACCTTATACATCAAATATATTGGCCGCCATGTGATCGCAGCTAATCATTAAACCGCACAATTCCGGTTCCCGGCACAAACAAACAGGCCGCTTGTTCGATCATTTCAAATGGTATACTGTGCACAGTAACAAGTAGACTCAAGTGTGTTCGCATATATGAATATATTGATAGGAGCTATGCGGTGCGCAGGAAACCTCCTGAGGTGTGGACTATATATACAATTACATGCTTGAGATGCACACTATAATGTGTATCATTGCGCTTGCAACAAATAATGCAATACGGTGATCGCTTTCAAAGCAGACCGCTCCCTCGAAGCTTCATTCAAATACCTAAACGCAATAGATCCTGAAGGGTTAAAGAAAACTTCGTATAACAATAATATATCATCTTTCGTACACAGACTTGTTTGTAAGCGTCCTATAGGCCTGCATTAGCAAAAGGTATCAATGATAGCCTCAGATGCGTGCGCATCCGAGGGATTGCTACGGCTGCGTATGCTCTTGTCATCTTGCCAATCTGCTTGCCTTCGTAGCCTAGACAGAGTAGCCATGCGGTCAGGCACACAAAAACCCCACCCACAGTCTAGGCTATTGGGAGACTAAGGGAACGTAGCGCTCCCACTTTCACCGATACCCATTTTCTCTTCGACGTCAAGGTTCCCAGCTGAGAAGAGGATCGTCGCAATACGACTCAATCCGGCTCTGATTGACCTCGACAAACTCTTGCCATATGAGTCGAAGTACTTCACCAAAATCGAAGCACCGCTGCCCCCTACCGATTCATACATTACCGCGCACGTCCAATGATCCACCCCCGCACCAGGAATGTGGATGCAGATTCCGACCTTCTTTGGACCGAGCTCCTTGACCGACTTGAGCACGCCCGACAGGTTAGCAAACGCTTTGCTAGCCTCGCTCCCTCTCAACTCCCCCACCGCAGTGACTGACTTCCAAAGACCGACGGGACACCACGTCACAATGCTATCGGTGCTGGAACTAGCAAAACTGATAACCTGAAGAAAGGTGCCAAGCACCTCGCTTGCAAGCTGGCAATTGGCGCCGGTTTGGTGGTGTAGCTCGGTAGGAGACGGACGCCACTGAAGCCGTCGCTGGAAACCGTTGCGATATGCGACGGTTTCAATCGGTGGCAGTGGCAGCTCCCAGCCGTTCACACAGGCCGGGATGTCCAGGTTCACCGGGGGAGCCGCATCCCTCTGCAGAATCAAGTGAACATCGGAAGTGAGAGCTCTTCAAGTACTCTTTGTCCATGTAAGAAGTGTGACCATTCGAACCTGACAAGTAGAAAATTTGAGCACTGGTTGCCCACAGTGGTAAAACGACTGAACGAGAGTGCTTTGTGAATGATCTTGGATAGATCAAACGGTTCACGAGACGCTTTTCCACTTTCATACCCAGTCCAGTAATAGCTCAGACTGTTCGAGTGCACATTGTTCCATCGGACACCAGCCTGTATGCAAGCTTTAGGATCTAAGCGGATCTGCGTGTAATGATCGCTTGGGCCTTACCTCTGTACGCATTCCGGTCGATCTCGCTCGCTTGCTAACATGAGTGCCGATGGGAAAGCGGTCCAGAATTTGAGTGTCGTCATCCAGCTCCTGCAAAAGGAGAGCACAATTTTTGCAGGCTAAAAAGCCGCAACCATCCTCGTCAGGCAAGCGCCTCCTCCACTCGAAAGACAAAAGACAGGACTGCTCGGCGCACCTACTTTTCAACATACAAACGGACAGGCAAACCCGCATCGAGTCACAAGCATTCACCATTGAAAACTCTCTAGCCCGGCGTCGGCCACTCGTGCGAAGTTCGACTGTCGCAGCAGATCCCTTCTGCAAAGAACCGAAGTTGTATACAGAGTCAGCACATATAAGAACGTCTCAAACCAAGGGTCTCAAAACATGTTGGTCTCAAGCGACGCACGTGGCACAAACGGCTTGCATTTATTGATAAAAGAGTGCCCGTTTTGCTTTCATTAGTGATCAGTTCAAGACAATTCATTGTTTACTGTAACTTGCAGTCACGGAGATGCGTAATCACTTACAATCGTGCATTCACCAGAAGCATGAACCTCGACCAAACCGTCCAACACGCTGCTGCGTGGCGCGTTCTGCGCGCGCGGGGGCGAGACGGCTGAGGCGCCGGGGGCGCAGCCTGGGTCGCCACGTGGCGCGA